GGCGCGGGCTCCTGGGAGGGGTCCCGGTCCCGTTTTAAGGTTGGCGCCGAGGTTAGGTCGAGGTTTCCTGGCCCTCGGAGGCCCTGCTCGCCGCCGCGGCTGGAAGCGAATCGAGAAACTGGTGCGTCTGGGCCCCTGGAGGTGGGCCGTCTACATAAAAAAGGATACGCCGACAGGACGCCGGCGCGGGCCCCTAGGAGGATAGGAGGGGTCCCGGTCCCGTTTTGAGGTTGGCGCCGAGGTTAGGTCGAGGTTTCCTGGCCCTCGGAGGACCTGCTCGCCGCCGCGGCTGGAAGCGAATCGAGAAATTGGTGCGTCTAAATTGGTGCGTCTGGACCCCTGGAGTCGATCTGTGTACATACAAAGGGATGCGCCGACAGGACGCCGGCGCGGGCCCCTGGGAGAGGCCTCGGGTCCGTTTAAATTGAGATTGGCGCCGAGGTCGAGGTTTCCTGGCCCTCGGAGGCCCTGCTCGCCGCCGCGGCTGGAAGCGAATCGAAAAACTGGTGCGTCTGGACCCCTGGAGTTGGTCTGTCTACATAAAAAGGAACACGCCGACAGGACGCCGGCGCGGGACCCTGGGAGGGGCCCCGGTCCCGTTTTGAGGTCGGCTCCGAGGTTAGGCGATGGTTTTCTGGCCCTCGGAGGCCCTGCTCGCCGCCGCGGCTGGAAGCGAATCGAAAAACTGATGCGTCTGGGCCTCTGGAGCTGGGCCGTCTACATAAAAAGGGATACGCCGACAGGACGCCGGCGCGGGACCCTGGGAGGGGCCCCAGTCCCGTTTTGAGGTTGGCGCCGGGGTTAGGTCGAGGTTTCCTGACCCTCGGAGGCTCTGCTCGCCGCCGCGGCTGGAAGCGAATCGAACAACTGATGCGTCTGGGCCCCTGGAGTTGGTCCGTCTACATAAAAAGGGATACGCCGACAGGACGCCGCCGCCGTCGCTGTCGCAGCAGTTCTCATCAATTTCATTTGCAGCATGTGCGACCCGAGCGGGCCAGCGCAACCACCGGCAGAGGCGCCCGCCGAGATGGCCGGGCATGGCTCGAGCGCGGGCCAGGCTTTGCAAGCCTCCGCGAGCGGAGACGTCCCCCCCAACGGCGCGGGCCAGGCTTTGCCAGCTCCCGCAGGTTTCAAAGCGCCTCCCATGGCGGTTCTGCTGGCGCCGAGGTTAGGTCGAGGTTTCCCGGCCCTCGGAGGCCCTGCTCACCGCCGCGGCTGGAAGCGAATCGAAAAACTGGTGCGTCTGGACCCCTGGACTTGGTCTGTGTACATACAAAGCGATACGCCGACAGGACGCCGGCGCGGGACCCTGGGAGGGGCCCCGGTCCCGTTTTGAGGTTGGCTCCGGGGTTAGGCGGAGGTTTCCTGACCCTCGGAGGCTCTGCTCGCCGCCGCGGCTGGAAGCGAATCGAAAAACTGGTGCGTATGGGCCCGTGGAGCTGGGCCGTCTACACAAAAAAAGATACGCCGACAGGGCGCCGGCGCGGGCCCCTGTGAGGGGTCCCGGTCCCGTTTTGAGATTGGCGCCGAGGTTAGGTCGAGGTTTCCTGGCCCTCGGAGGCCCTGCTCGCCGCCGCGGCTGGAAGCGAATCGAAAAACTGGTGCGTCTGGGCCCCTGGAGTTGGTCCGTCTACATAAAAAGGGATACGCCGACAGGACGCCGCCGCCGTCGCTGTCGCAGCAGTTCTCATCAATCGCATTTGCACCATGTGCAACCCGACAAAGGGAGGGAGAGGAGCCTCAGCAGGCCTCCGAGAAAAAATCTCCACTGGCATCGTCAGGAGAACAATCACCACTGTTGCCGATTGCTCGGCCCCTCCACCCCCCCCAACCTCCTTATCACCCGCAGGGTGGTCGTATAGGTAGGCCTCTTGGGGATATGTTGGAGGCCTGTAGGGGTGTCGGAGGCTAGCGAGACCGAGAGCTTACCATAGGTTCAGCCAATAACGTCAAGAACATGTTTGGTTTTGGTTCCTTGCTGCGTTCCTCGGATTCCTTGGTCTTGGTTCCTTCTTGCGTTCCTCGTGCTCCTCGGTTTTCCTTGGGACTCTCGTCTGTCATCCCCACCCAATGCCGTTCAGTTTCAAGCAACGCGTAGCTTCGAAATGCCTATATCACCCGACGGCCCGACCACGCTGTCGGGGATGAGTGCCCAGCATGCAATACCAAGTGTCGCGTTTGGGCTTGGCTATGCTTCTGGGCAACGCAAAGCAACGTCCATCGATGCCAGACATCGCAGATCCCTCGGCAATGCCACGCAATGCCGAGCAATGCGAAACAGTGGGCCCTTGGGGCCCGTCCGCATTGGAGGAGCAATTGCACCCTCCCCTCTCCACCGCCTGCGCGTCGCAGAGCATGGGAGAGTGCAGTGCCCCCTCCTCCTCTGCCTCCGCCGCGGGCTTCTCGCTTCCTGACGTTCTCCCTGCTCTCTCTTCTTCACCCGACGCTGCCAGGCCCAACGATCGACAGGGCTGGCTTCTCGCTGTATGATGTTCTCCTTCCTCTTTCTTCTCCTCCTGTCGCTGCCAGGCCCAACGATAGACAGGGCTGGCTTCTCGCTTTAGGCTGTTCTCCCCCTCCTCTCTCTTCTCCTCCCGTTGCTGCCAGGCCCCGGGCCCTACGCTAACAGGGCCAGCGAGGCCAGTTCCCTGGGCAGCGCAACGCGATGCAAGCCAACGCCAAGCAAGCAATGCCAAGGAACGCGCGGCATTGCCGAGCACTGCCACGGATCCTGCGGGCCTCTAGATCTTGCAGGGGCCTCCAGGGCAGCGGAGATGACGAGGCCGAGAAGGAGAAACTATTCAAATGGTGGTGACAACGACGAAGAACACCACAGCGACGACGATGATGATCATGATGGGCAGGACTATGAGAAAGTGAGCATTTTTTTATTCTGGGTTCCGGCTTTAGGCGCATGGGGGGGAGGGGGGGGGGGTCCGGCTCTCGGCCCGTAGTCAATGCCTCCGATTGAATCATGTGGGGAATCCTGTGGGAGATGCCGATGAGGGAATCCTAGGGGAGACCCCCCATGGGGGAATCGCGCAGCGGCTGCGCGGGGCTGCGCCAAGGCTATGCGTGATTTGGCAAGCCTGCGCCAGAATTGCTAGGGATCACCTATTCATGATTCCACGAGGCCGTCGCTGGCATAACAGGGGAGGGCCCAGCCGGAGGCATGCTTTCTGGCGATCGGGTCTGGCGCCCCTGAGCCCTTTCGTTGTGGTTCCAGAAGAGTAGCACGATAAAATGCGCACAGTTGCACACATCAGCGATTCGAGTTTCTACCGGGGGAGGGGGGGGGGGGCGCCGGCCCCTGTAGTTCGTCCGATCGATTGAAGCAGGTGCCAAAATTAGCCCGGAACTTCTCTACGGGGGGGGGGGGAGGGGGGGGGGAGGGGCGTTCCGCCGAAAGCAAAAACAAATAATAAAAGAATGCTCACAAAGATGATGGCGATGATGGTGATGCTGATGGTGGTGATGATGATGCAAGTCACGGTGGTGATGATTATGACGGTGCTGATGATGGTGGTGATGATGCTGGTGACGGTGATGGTGATGATGATGGTGTTGTTGATGATGATGCTGATGCTGCTGATGATGGTTGTGGCGACGATAAGGATGATGATGGTGATGATGGTGATGCTGATAATGTCGACAACAATGATGATGAGTATGATGATGATAATGATGATGATGGTGGTGATGGTGATGGTGATGGCGATGCTGAGAATGATGATGCTGGTGGTAATGATGATGTTGTTGTTGATGCTGATGCTGATGATGATGATGGTGACTGTGATGGTGATGGTGATGATGCTGCTGATGATGATGATGATGCTGATGATCATGATTAGTATGATGACAACGACGACGAGGAAGATAATAATGGGCAGGAGGAGCAATAAGAACCTCGTCGTCACATGTGGCACCGCTCGACTTCACTTTTGCGAGCTCATTCGGGCCGTCCAGGGGTTGCCCTGGGCTCCTGTGGTGCAGTCTTGGGGGTCTCTTAGGGTCCTCTTGGGCCGTCTTGGGACTCTCTTGAGCCGTCTTGGGGCCCTCCCCACCGTCTGGACGGTCTCTTCCGGCTGTCGTGGAGCCGGAGGCCGTCTCGGGTCGCAGACAGGCCCTATCAAAAATTCTATCTTGGAAGCCTCTTGGGCCGGTTTGCACCGGCAAATGCCTGACAGGGCGGGAATGACAAAGCCTTTCTAAAAATGCATGAGCATCAGTACTTTGGGACTCCACGGGCCATCCAGCGAAACTTCGGCAAGGCATGGTGTCTGCCAAAATTTCGGACCATCCACTGATTGGGATTGCTCTGGTGCAATTTTACTATACAGTAGGGGCCGGTCCACAAGAGACCTTCCACGAGAAGCCCAACCCGGAGACCCCAGGTCGTCCCCTGTTCTTATGTGTGGGAACGTCACGCTTTCCATGGCAGAACCATCGAAATCCAAGGAACCCAGGGCAACCCTGGAGGCAAGCAGGGTGTCTCTTGGCAAGGGCCTCCACTGTACACTGCCCGACAGGTCGACGACAGGCCCCCGACAGTGAAACACGCACGGCCCTGGGCAGGCTGGGCCCTCGTCGGGCCCCCCTCGGCGAGGAGTGGGCGCTTGGGGGCCGATGCGTCCCCCCCTGGGCATATCCCGACTCCAGATTTCGTAATAAAGGGAGGGGGTCTCATTTCGGGGGGGGTCTCTTCCAGGCTAATTATCTTGGAGGGCCTGGGGGGTCTGGGGACGATGTTTTGGAGGGTTCTCCCACGGGGGAGGTCTGAAATGGCTTGCCTTGGAGGGTGCAGACCCCCTCCCTTTTATTAAAAAATCTGGAGTATCCCCCTCCCTATAGCGTTGCCCCCCGATGTAGCAGGCCGACCCCCCCTGGCGGCCCCCGCCCCCTTCTGCGCGCAGCGGTGGCCCCCAAAGGGCGCGCGAGAGAGCGCCCCGCCGGGGGGCCGGCCGAGAGCGCCGCCCGCGCCTCGACCGCTGCGGCACGGCTCAGAGCACCGCGGCCTTGCGCGGGAAGAAGTTCATCCAGTGCTTCTGCTCGGCCTGTGGAGCCCGCTGCTCTTCGGGCCCCGGCGAGCTTATTTGCATGGGGGCGGAGGGGGGGGAGCTCCTCGCTGCTCCTCCTCCTCCTCCTCCTCCTCCTCCTCCTCCTCCTCCTCCTCCTTCGCCGTCTACCTCCTCCTCCTCCTCCTCCTCAGCCTCCTCCTCCTCCTCCTCCTCCTCCTCCTCCTCCTCGTCCTCCTCCTCCTCCTCCTCCTCCTCCTCCTCCTCCCGTCCACCTTCCCGACGTGGGGGCCGCCTTTCTGTAAGAGGCCGTTTCTCTTTAGGCTCTTGCAGATTTACTTGCCTGGAGGGGGAGGTGGGGAGGCCTGGCGAGGCCCTGAAGGAACTCTGGACTTCACGCAAGTCGAAACTTCCTCGTGCCGTTTCGGCCAATCAGTGTTTCACAAGACTGCGAAGAGCGGGGGGGAGGGGCGGGGGGGTCAAATCCCCTGCTAGTTGACCTGCGAGAGATCAGTGACAAACGCGCTCTGAACTCGATGAACTTGCTTGACGTTTGGGTGGGTGGGTGGGGGGGGGCAACTTCCCCTGCCAGTTAACTTGCCAGCGAGAGCCCACTGAACTACGCGCTCTGACCTCGATGAGCTTGCTTGACGTGTCTCCTCAGAGGATCAACGTCAGGGGGGACCGGCTCATACGGGGGAGAGCATCTACGCTAGAGTCGGCGACGCATCGCCGAGAGATCGGCGAGGGGCCCCAGCCATGGCACGACCCTGGGCCAGAGGTGGGCCGTCGGAGCCCTTTCGGCGGCACAGATGGGCGAGTGGGGGCCGATGCATACCCCCCCCCTGCGCCTAGATTTAGGTCGGGCATGTCCTCCTGCACGCGGACTTTGGAAGAAAAATCAAACATAGTCTAAACATGAGTTCAAATATAGTCAATGTTCAAACAGAAAGCAGAAATGTTCAAACAGAAATGTTCAAACATAGTCAGAAATCGTCTCCATAAGATTTTTGGACTATTTTTGAATCGTCCTCCTTCAAAGGGACATGCCCGCCTTAAGCCTAGGTTCCCCCCCCCTCCCCTGCCATTGCCCCAGACGGCCTCTGTCGTGGGGCGGATCCCGCCGGTGAAGCCGCCGAAGGAGCATGGCTGCATCTGCGCGCCGCCGAGGCGCACCTGCAGCGTGCGCCAGCGGGACTGGACGGGGAAGTGCAGGAAGGTGACCGTGGCGGTGGCGAGCACGCCGTCCTTCGCAGCACGAGGAGGAGGAGGAGGAGGAGGAGGAGGAGGACGAGGAGGAGGAGGAGGACCACGTACAGCCAGCGTGCTCCAACAGGGAGCGCCGAACTTGCTTGATGGAGGGGGAGGCGGGGGCCTGGCGAGGCCGAGAAGGAACTCTGGACGCCATACAAGTCGAAACTCACTTGCACGCTGTTCCGGCCCAGCATTGTTTCATCAGGCGGCGGCGAGGGGGTGGGGAAGGAGAGAGGGGAAGGGGAGCGGGAAAGGGGTGTGTGGGTGGGGGGGAATCCCCAGCCACTTAACTTGCTTGAGCTCATTGAAAAACGCGCTCTGGGCAGTCGATCGTGGGCTCTGGCACCGACCCCCAACGGCCTAGACCCAAAGCGTCGGCCGTCCTGATCTGTTCGGCTGCCTCCCCCACCCGACCGAGCCCGAGTCCTTGTCGCGCTCCAGGGCCTCCAGGCGGCCGTACCACCAGCCGAAGGGACTGCCCTGCTGCATCTTCCACTGCAGCTCGATCCCGACGCCAGGCTGCAGGCCCTCGAAGCCCTCGGGGCCCCAGATGAAGGGGGCCGGTGCCCCTTGAGTAGAAGGTGCATGCACGCACATCAAGAAAAGCTGATGTAAGCACTCTGGGGACACATCCTTCGTCGACCTTGAGCTTCGTGAGGTGCCGCAGAGCTCCTAAGGGCCCATCGGAAAATGAAAAATTGTCGTGGGCACCCTTTGGCGGGCGAGTTTCTCACATGGTGCGCCTACTGCATGGCAGACCTCGGCGCTCGCGGTTCGGGGGCCCCGGTTTGGGGGGCGAATCTCGCCCTTTGATGACCTCCGGAAGTTCTCGCCGCAACGGCTGGGGCCGCCTTGAGATTGAGGCCAGAACGCGCCCCTGGACAGGTTCAGGGTCGACTTTCGACCTCCGCGGGGTCAAGCAGCAAATCCATGGCAAATGCACGCTTCGATGACGACGCCGCTGATCTGTCACACCGCGTGGAACGTCTGGCATTGGACGATCGCAGCAGTCCGATAGAGCAGGCCCTTGGATATCGACCGATAGCGCCGTTCAACCTGGAACGTACTTACGCGCTGGGGTCGCCGCCGAGCCGACGCGACATGAGCCTGCCGCACCCCCTCTGGGGGCACCCGTCGTACAGTCAGCCCGTAGAGTAGAGTAAGAACGCACGATGAGGAAACAGGAACAAACAGATACGGCTGCTCCGAAGGCGAGGGACGGAGGAGCCTGCCTCGAAGGCGAGGGACGGAGGAGCCCCAACACTTGCCGAGGCGGCTCCACACTTGGAGAAACAATAACATGCCGATGCCGCTGTTCCCAGGGCCTCTCCAGGGGTACGTTCTGACCAGAATTTCCAGGCGAATCCAGCGGTAGCGACGAGGGCCTCCCAGGAGGCCCCAGAAGGCGAAAGCAAGGCAAGGGTGTACTTGCATCGGCACCTCTCCCTTCCCTGAGCACTCACGCACTGACACGACCTCTCTCCCGCTCGAAGAGGAGGGTGGGCTTGGCCTCGAGCACGCGGCCCAAGCATCGGCGCCGTCGGCGTAGAGAAAATCGAGCTCCACACCGAGCCGCATTGCCGATGCATCATGCATCGGCAATGTGGCGCGATCCTCCGACCCCATCCACTCCGACCCCATCTGGGAGGCCTACGGTCGGGAGCTGCTGCTCAACGTTGTGGCCGCGGCGGCCCCTGCGACACGCTGCACAGGGTGTATCGCTCCGCTCCGTGGGGCGGGAGGCTGGACAAGTCTCGGGACGTTGACGCTTGGCACTCAGGACGTGGATAGCGTGCCGCGCCGAAGTGGGAAGGCCCAGAACCGGCGGGCGACACGCTGAGCCAGAGCGCCTAACCGTAGACTTGCAGGCGGCTGGGGGCTCTTGAACTGCATGAGGCCCCAGAAAGTCGATCAAGAGGGGGAATGGGGCCAAATCCGCTCAAAATCGGTCCACGAACGCCTTCTGGGGTCCATCTGGTGCTGCAATTCACCCTGGATCCGGTTTTTAAGGTCCAGGGTCCCGAAAACGGCTCCAGGAGGCCGAAACAGGCAATCAATACACCTCCACCGTCCCGAACCTCCCCCCCCCCCCTTCCTGCTGGCCCGGACCCCCAGATGGCTCCAACCGTGGATTATCCGATGATCCTGTCCTTCGCAGACGAGAGAGGGGTGGGGGGTGCACGGTTTCCTCCCAGGGCAGGCGGCCCGAGGAGGAGGAGGAGGAGGAGGAGGAGGAGGAGGAGGAGGAGGAGGAGGAGGAGGAGGGGATGGAGGAGAAGGGGGAGAGGGAGGAGGAGAGGATGACGAGGAGGAGACGGAGGAGGAGACGGAGGAGGAGGAGGACGAGGAGGAAGGGAGGAGGAGGAGGAGGAGGAGGAGGAGAGAAGGAGGAGGAGTAGGAGACGGAGGAGGAGGAGGAGGAGGAGGAGGAGAGGAGGAGGAGGAGGAGGAGAGGAGGAGGGGAGGGGGAGGAGGTGCACGAGGAGGAGGAGGAGGAGGAGGAGGGAGGAGGAGGAGGAGGACGACGACGGAGGACGGGGAGAGGAGGAGGAGGCGAGGAGAGGAGGAAAGAAGAGGAGGAGGAGGGGAGGAGGAGGAGGAGAAGGAGGAGGAGAGGAGGGAGGAGGAGGAGGAGGAGGAGGGAGGAGGAGAGGAGGAGGAGGAGGAGGAGGAGGAGGAGGAGGAGGAGGAGGGAGGAGGGGAGGAGGGAGGAGGGAGGAGGAGGGAGGAGAGGGAGGAGGGAGGAGGAGGAGGAGAGGAGGAGGAGAGGAGGAGGAGGAGGAGGAGGAGGAGAGGAGGAGGAGGAGAGAGGAGGAGGAGGAGGAGGAGGAGGAGGAGGAGGGGGAGGGGGAGGAGGAGGAGGGAGGAGGGAGGGAGAGGAGGGAGGAGGGAGGAGGGAGGAAGGAGGAGGAAGGAGGGAGGAAGGAGGAGGAGGAGGAGGAGGAGGAGGAGGAGGAGGAGGAGGAGGAGGAGGAGGAGGAGGAGGAGGAGGGGGAGGAGAGGGAGAAGGAGGATTTTTTATGGTCGACCCATGAACAGCCACATGACTCCGCTGGCGTGGCGAGTGCCAGCGAGATGCACCAAAAACGGCGCAGGCCGCGCCACCGTCGGGGCCATGCCCCCGTGGCGCGACCTAAGCGCGACCAGGGAGCGCTGGGAGACCGTGCTCCGCGCTCCCTGGTCGGGGTAGGGGGCGCGAGCCGTGCTCAGCGCCAACCCTACCCACCACCCACCCCATGGGTGGCCGCGTTTTACGGCCCCGGGACCACGACACGACGCGACACGACAGGGGGACGAAACGAACGACGCGACACGAACGACACGAGACGGACGAGCGACACGACGGAGACGAGCCGCCAGCCCCGCCCCAGGGCGGCGAGTGCTGGGGGGGACCCAGCACCGCCCAGGGGAAGCACACGGGGCCTGGCGACCCCCCCGGGGGAAGGAAACCGCACTTTGGCGGCGTCCCCCGGGGTGCGGGGGATTTTCGCCCCTCGGGCCCGGCGCTCCCCGCCTGCGCCAGGAGGACCCTGGGGTCCCGACCCCTCCCCTACGGGAGGGGCCCCCTCGGGGCAGAGGGAGAAGGAGGAGGAGGAGGAGGAGGAGGAAAAGGAGGAGGAGGGAGAAGGAGGACGGGTCGCCTAAGCCCGTCGGAGAGACCCTCCAGGGGGGGTGGGGGCTAGCCTCCAGCACGCGGTCCAGGTACAGGCCGCCCGCCGCCGCGCCCTCGGCGTCGCCCGGCACGTCGGGCGACAGCGGGCCAAGCCGCAGCGCGTCGCGCACCGCGGGCGGGCAGCAGCGGAGGCGGTGCTCCTCGCGGCACGAGGCAGGAGGAGGAGGAGGAGGAGGAGGAGGAGGAGGAGAAGGGGGAGGAGGAGGTCAGCCGGCATCCCAGGCCCCCGCGGGCCAGGATTAGATCTGCGGCTGGAGGGGTTCTGCTCTCTGCGGCCGCGGGGTGCCCTCGCCAAGCCCCCCCCCCGGGGACCGTCCAAACACGACTCGGGATGAGACGCCGGTCCAGGGGAGTGGGCCGAGACCTCTGTAATTAGGAGTCCGCATCATGAGCAACTCGTGACGTCGGGGGTCTGGGATCTTCGGTCGAGAACCTTTTGCTTAGCGATCTGGCCGACCTGCAGCTCCCGACTGGCCTCACACTGCCGTGCTGTCTCTGAACTAGGATTCCATGACCGGCCTCCACAATGCAGGCCAACAGTATTAGGTTGGGCATATCCTCCTACAGGCGGATTCTGGACTACGAGTTAAACATACTCAAAATAAACTCAAACATAATCAACTACATAGAAAAACACCCCCCAGACTATTCCTTACTATTTTTGAATATGCCTCCTGTAGAGGGACAGGCCCGACTGAACAATAGTGAAGACAGACCGGCCGTCTCGATTTTGTCGAGGCGCGAGGTGTCTCGGTCAGAGGGAGCAGGGTGGGCCAGGAGGCACATGAGACCAAAAAGGGCGGCAGGCGATGACCCAGACTGAGGCCTCCGACGCCACGATTCGTTATTGATGCGGGCCCCCCCGACAGCACGACAACTTCCGGAGAACCACTTTATGAAGGACTAAAGAGCGCCATACATAGAGGAACGGCAAAAACATATGAACATCAACTTTTTGCGCTCCGCGCAGATTTCTTGGATCTGCGCTGGACCCCCCTCCCTGGCGCGCGGAGCGCGCCCGGGGCGGCGCCGGAGGCGCCGCCGGGGACCGAGCGCGGATCCAAGAAATCCGCGCGGAGCGCCAAAAAAATTATGTGTATGCCGTTTGCTCTTCTTCGGATCAACATGGACTTTCGCTGGTCCGCGCGGATTTCTTGGATCCGCGCCAGCCCCCCGCCCCTGGCGCGCTCCCTTTGGCGCCGGAGGCGCCGCGGGGGGAGGCCCAGCCCAGATCCAAGAAATCCGCGCGAAGCGCCAAAAGTTTATGTTTGTCGCGGCTTTTCTCATTCGATTTTGCGTCCAGGATAATGGCCTGACGGCCCCAGGGACCGAAAACGGACACCAGACGCCGAAAACCACAAAAGCGATCCGCCGTGACGCTGCCAGAGTGAAGCGATAACGTTATTCAGCACACGGAAGCGTTGTCCTGGCAGCCTGAGAAGGACAGGACAGGACATCCGAATGGGAGGGTCAACGTCGAAACGCCCGCAAAAGGAACTGGAGGGTACGACTTGCAAAATCTCCTGCGACCCTGAGGAGGAGGAGAAGGAAGAGGAGGAGGAGGGGGGGGGTGGAACATGATGATGACAATGATGATGATGATGAGGAGGAGGAGGAGGAGGCGGAGGAAGAGGAGGAGGAGAAGGAGGAGGAGGAGGAGGAGGGGATGGAGGAGGAGGGGTAGGGTAGGAGAAGAATGATGATGATGATGATGGTGATGGTGATGATGATGATGATGGAGGAGGAGGAGGAGGAGGAGGAGGAGGAGGAGGGGGACGGAGGAGGAGGAGGAGGGGGAGGAGGGGGAGGAGGAGGAGGAGAGGAGGAGGAGGAGGAGGTAGGAGGAGGAGGAGGAGGAGGAGGAGCTGCGGGCGGCGCCGGGGGCGGGCGACCGGCGCTCGCCCTCGGCTACGCCTTGCTGGGCGTCGCCGCCGTGCTCCCGTGTATGCGAGGTAGAGGCCCCGGTCGGCGCACCCCCTCGGCTCCGGGGCTAGCTCGCCGCTGAGCGGCGTGCTTGTCATGGGGTTGGGGGGTTGCGCCGGCCCCCGATCAATGTGCTCCCGGCGCGCGGCAGACACGCGGCCGCCGCAGGAGGAGGAGGAGGAGGAGGGCAAGGAGAGGGAGGAGGGGGAGGAGGAGGAGGAGGAGGAGGAGGAGGAGGAGGAGGAGGAGGAGGAAGCTAACGTCTGGGCTCTCTTCGTGGCCATCCTCCCACTGCGGGATGTACTCCGGGTGCACCTCGCCGGCGCTGATGTACCTGGCGCAACGCGGCCGGCCCGCGAGGCCTGGGTGGCATGTGGTGCGCGCCTTTGGGGTGTGTGGGGGGGGGGGCGCGGGGGGGCCAAACCAGCCCCAGAGCCGACCAGAGGGAGCCTCACTAGAAGATGATGGGCCTGTTTTCCACCACCACACACCCACCATAAGTTGGACGAGGAGGAGGGAGGAGGAGGAGGAGGAGGAGGAGGGAGGAGGACAACGAAGAGGAGGAGGAGGAGGAGGAGGAGGAGGAGGAGGAGGAGGAGGAGGAGGACCCCCTCCCCCTCAAACTTACAGTGGTGGTTGTGGAAAACAGGCCCATCAGACGAGCCCCGGTTGGCGCTCCGCGCGGATTTCTTGGATCTGCGCTGGACCCCCCTCCCTAGCGCGCGGGCCCTTCCAGGGGCGGCGCCAGAGGCGCCGCCGGGGGGGTCCCAGCGCAGACCCAAGAAATACGCGCGGGGCGCCAAAAGTTCACGTTTATGACGCTTTGTCTTCTTCGACACATGCAGGCCGAGCAGAAAGAGGGGCCAAGCAAACCCAGGGCGAGCCAGCCCGTTTCGGCTGGTGCTAGTACGAAGGAGTAATAGGATGGCTCCGCATCGCGGATGCATCGGCGATGCGGCGCGATCCCCCGACCCCACCTTACTTTGGTCTTCTCCGAGGGCCTCTGAAACTGCACTCGAGACCCGAAAATGCCAAATGATGTCGGCAGAAGCCTCGACCCCCGAGCCTCCTCCTCCTCCTCCTCCTCCGCCTCCTCCTCCTCCACCTCCTCCTCCGCCTCCACCTCCTCCTCCTCCTCAGCCTCCTCCTCCTCCTCCTCCGCCTCCTCCACCTCACCCACCTCATTATCGTCCTCCTCGCTCGCTCGCTCGCATCGGGCCGTGGCACCTTCCCTGACAGCCTCCGACCCGATGTTGCTCCAACCGCGGCTCCGAGTCCCAACCCCTCCCCCCCAGGGGGAAGGCCTTGCGACGCAGCTCCAGGCACTCAGAAGTCCTGGGGCCCAAGAGAGGGCTCCCGAGGCCGAAATCCATGACTTGCGCGCCCAGATTGAAGAAGCGTCGGAGCCCTGGGCTCGCGGGCGCAGCCCCATCGTTAAGTCGGGCGGGCCCCGCGCCGCGCCACAGCGCCGATGCCTCGGCGATGCGTCACGATCCTCCGACCCCTATCTGGATCGGAGTCTACTCAGACACCAGCCAAGAGGCCCAGAACTGTTTCGTTCAGTTCGGCCACCAACGGCTGCCGTCGGCCGCCGGGACCGTCGAAAAACGGATTCGGGATGCAGAACTGCCGCTGGTGGGAAGAACCATTAGCGGTGGACGACTGGGTCCCCCCCCCCTCCCCCCCACACTGCCATAACCGAGATAGGTCTTCAGAACCCCCCCCCCTCCCAACAATGGAAACGAATTAATTATCCTCTCGACGCCCTGATTGGCGGGCTGGCCCCCCCCCCGCCGGCCCCTGGGGCCGGCAGGAGCAGCCAATGTCGGACCGCGAAGCCGCGTCGGACGGAGAGGACCACCGAGCCGGGGACTCGGCACGGGGGCGCAGTCGACCTCGCATCGGCCGCGCCAGGAGGCACGACGCCGCCATGCGAGCCTCGCGCCGCCACAGCTCGTCGGCACGCCGACAACGTCGGCATCGCATCGGGTTGGCCGCAGCCGCCTCCGAATATCGGATCGGGCCGGCAAGCTGCTGGTCGAATCGGATCGGAGGGGGCCGTGCTGGCAGGGTGGGGCGGGGAGCCCCGACGGGCGGGCCTGGCCACGTAGCACCGGCGGTCCGCCTCGAAGGTGACGCGGGCCCCCATGGCGGCCATCGCGAAGCCCAGCTTCTTCTCGCGGTCGAAGACCTCGAGGACCACCTCCGGCGCGCGCGAGGGGGGCGAAGCGCCTCGCCGCGGCGGCGCCCGGCCCCCGGGGGCAGGGCCAGGGCCCCGTGAGGCCCCTGGGCGCTGCAGGCCAGGACTTCGAACATCCCAGGCGCGGGAGGGCATTGGCGGACGGGGCCGCGTCTTCGTCGACCCGCGGCTGCATGTTTGCCTGCGTGCGCCGTCGCCCCGGGCTTTTTGGGATGTCTGCTAGACGCGGCCCACATGGGGACCGAACCGATGGTGCGGGAGGGTCGCGCCTCATCGCCGTTGCACCGGCGACGCAGCGGCGACGCAGCGGCGATTCATCGGCGCCATGGGCGTGGAGATCATCGGGCCCCACATCGCGCCGCCTCGCCGATGCCTCGGCGACGCGGGGCGCGTCGCCGACCCATCTACTCGCCCCCACTGGCCATCGCTCGGACGTCCAATCTCTGTGTTTTTCTCGGTTTCGTGCGTGGTTTTTTTTTTTTTTGCCAAATGATCAGGGATGCTCCTCGATGGTCCTCGCCGAAAGAACAAATGCACACGTCCGAGCGATGCCAAGCCCATTGGACCGACGAGAAAAAAACGGGCCTCGCGCGAGATGGCGTGGCGACCTTGCGCGGCGGCCAACGCGGGCCGCCGACGCGGCACGCCACGCTGGAAGCTCAGAGGCGCCCGCGCGCGACCTGGCGCGCGACCGGGGGGGGCGGTGAGCACGGAGCCCCAGATCTGGCCGCGATCGGCGCGCGGCCCCTCCCCGACAGCCCTGACCTTCCAGGAGGGCTAAAAAATAACACCCGACTTAAAAACCTATCCCGAAGCTGTTTCGCTCAGTTCTTTAGGTTTTTAGGCCTCCCGTGCTAAAAAATAGCTCTCTGGAAGGTCAGGGAGGAGCTCCGCCCACGGCGCCATGCCCCGGCGACGGCGGGGGCAGGCCGCCACCGACTGCGCCTCTTCGGCCCCCCCCGGCGGGCCGCCTCGACCCTCCCCGCGAGCGTGTCCTCGTAGAGCTCGCGCCACTGCTGGGGCCCCTGGTGCTGGAGGAAGTCGTGGAAGGCGGGCCACCTGCGCACGGCCGGCGGGCCCGCGGTGCCCCTCGCGGCCCTGGGGCTCCGACCCAGGCGCGTCCTCCTACAGGCAGATTCCGAAGGAGAGATAAGGGATGGCCACAGCATCGTCAGCAAGCATCAGAAGTATGAAGGGGCCCTGGGACACACAAATAAATACACTCAAATAAAAGGATTCCCCATATTTTCCCATAGTTTCTAGGTTTTTGTCTCCCCCCCCACTTCCCATATTTTCCCATATTTTCCTGGGAATCGACGATTACTTGTGTCTGTGTGTGTTTTTCCCCTCCTGAAAGTAGTAAAGCAAAAACAAGCAAACCGTCACCATACTTTTGTTTCACTGTTCTTGAGTCTTCCTCCTGTAGAGGGACGTGCTCACTTAAGGCTACATGTGCTTCCCGCGCGCGGGCCTCTGCCTGTAGAGGCCGCTCCACAGGTCGTTGCGCGTGGGCTCGAGCTCGGCCGCCAGGGTCTTCGCGGTCTGCGCCGTGAGCGTCGCCAGCTCCTCCGGGGAACCGCACGCGAAGGCGGCGATGTTGAACAGCACCGGCTGGCAGGCGGAGGCGATGGATCGGGGGTTGCCAAAGGAATCCCTGCCTCAACCCAACCACTTGAGCAAGGACCGAACGTCACCGAACGTCCTGGCATTCCTACAGGCCTACCCCAACATGTTCCTCCAACACAGGAGCGTTCCAAAAACCAGAACAAGTTCCACATAACATAACCGTACGCATTGAAACAAAGCGGCCCCAACCAGCATGATCTCATAGCACTCCACGCACGCCCAGTACATACTGTAACAACCTCTTTGGTGGGCATAGGGCCAAGCCGACACGCCTCGCCACTGCTTGAGACCTGCGCGCGTCGTCACAAGAGCACGGCTGACCATGTTTGGTTGTCTTCTGCCTCTAGCGCCCTGGCCGGGCCCTGGGGCCGTCAAAGAAGACTCGGGATGATGAACCGCTGGCCCTCAAAAGAAGGCCTTCATGGAACCCGGCAATGAATGAAAATCGTCGGACGTCTGCAACGGTGTCCCAGTGGTTCTCTCCATTCTGGGGCCCAGAGGGTCCTCTGGACCTCGTGAGGGGGGACCCTGAAGGCCGCGAGGGCCTCTATGTGAACCTGGGGAGACCGCCCAGGCATCCGGTATCTTGACAGTTTCAGCGCAAGGGCCCTGGAAGTCCCGACCCTTTCCCCAGGACTAGTTTTTCATTGGCAAGTCAGAGTGAAGGGGCCGAAAGGTCATTCACTGTCCCTGGGCGCGTGGCCGAAGTGCAGTTCTGCGGTGCGGATTGTTGATCCCTCACAGCTGGGCAATCAATATAATTAACCCCCTCCGGTGCACATTGTATTTTTCAATTGAAGTGCCCCTCCCCGCGCTCGTACCCTGTTCTTCTATCAATGAAAATCTTCGTCCTCAAACTGGGCCCCAGGCCCCCGGGTTCGAACAACAACGGCTCCCGCCTGAGACTTCTGTACAATGTAGCCAGGACCCCCGCTCCCGCCTGAGTTCCTCGAATTTTACTCAAGAATCGCGCTGTCCCGTGGTACTTCCTCACAATTTATACAGGAATCGCTCTCTCGGCGCTCTAAAGTCGCGCTCTCGCTGGAGACTCGCTTGCAGGTTACTCAAGGATAGCGCCCTTGCGTTGGAATTCCCTGCAATTTGCCCAAACAGCGCGCTCCCGACACTCAGTTACCCAGGAGTCGCGCTCACGCTTCGGACTCCCTCGCACATTAACTAAGAATCGGGATCTCGCTGCCCTCCGTGGCCCCGCCTCAGCCCTTCGTGGCCCCGTCGCTGCCCTTCGTGGCCCCATGTGCACCCCGTCGTGGCCCCCTCGCTGCCCTTCGTGGCCCCGTTGCAGCCCTTCGTGGCCCCCTCGCTGCCCTTCGTGGCCCCGTTGCAGCCCCCTCGCTGCCCTTCGTGGCCCCGTTGCAGCCATTAGTGGCCCCCTCGCTGCCCTTCGTGGCCCCGTTGCGGCCCGTCGTGGCCCCGTCGCTGCCCTTCGTGGCCCCGTTGCAGCCCTTTGCGGCCCCCTCGCTGCCCTTCGTGGCCCCATACCTGCATGCCCTTCGTGGCCCCCGTTTGATTGATCGCGCCCGCCGTGGCCCCACATGCACGCCCTTCGTGGCCCCACTGTCGCCCTTCGCGGCCCCCTCGCTGCCTTTCGTGGCCCCGTCGCTGCCCTCCGTGGCCCTGTCCTTGCCTTCCGCGGTCCAGTACACGCATGCCCTTCGTGGCCCCCGCTCGATTGCGCCCGTCGTGGCCCCATGTGCATGCCCTTCGTGGCCCCGCTGTCGCCCTTTGTGGCACCCACGCTGTCCGACGTGGCCCAGTTGCTACCCTCAGTGGCCCCGTTGTCGCATCCTGCTGCCCCGCATTATCTGCCTTTGGTAGCCCCCGCTCGTTCGCGCTCTTCGTCTCCCTATACGCGTTCCCTTCGTGTCCCCGCTGTCGCCCTTCGTGGCCTACGTCGTGCCCTGCGTGGCCCTGCTGTCCTTCTCTCTCTCTCTCTCTCTCTCTCTCGCTTTCGCTCGTCATCGTCGTCGTCGTCGCCATCGTCGTCGTCGACGTCGTCGTCGTCGTGGTCGGTCCCTTGTCCGTCTCTCTTGGGGTCGGGTTGCCGCCGATCAGCGGCGCCGCTGGCCAGGCCGACGGTCCGCGGCCGCCCCGCCGTTTGCCGGGGCCCGGCCTGTGGGGAAGAAAAGTATACCCCCCGACAGGGGCACGATCGAAGACGAAGAGGGCGGGTACCGAGGGTCTGGAACTATGCGTTAGCGGACACTCGAACAGATAAGAGCGAACAGTCTTAAAATGTTTGTTGTTGTTGGTGCCGTTGTTGTCGTAGTTTGTTGTTGGTGTTGTTGTTGCTGCTGCTGTTGCCGTTTTTGTTGCGGTTGTTGTTGATGATGCTATTGTTGGTGGTGTTGTGATGTTGTTGTTGTTGGTGTTGTTGTTGTGTTTACAGTTGCTGTCGTTTGTTGTTGGTGGTGTTGTTGATGCTGTTGCTCTTGCTGTTGCTGTTGTTGTTGTTACTGCTGTTGCTGATGGTTTAGTTGTTGTTGATGGTGGTGTTGTGTTGTCGTTGCTGGTGTTGTTGTTGCTGCTGTAAGTGTTATTGGTGTTGTTGTTGGTGGTGTTGTTGTTGTTGTTTGTTTTTCGTTTGTTATCGTCGTCCCCTCCGCAACGCGCCCGCGACCCAGCCCGCGACCCAGCCCGCAACCGACCCGCGACCCACCCGCGAGCCACCCGCGACCCAGCCCGCGACCTGGCCCGCGACCCACCCGCGACCCACCCGCGACCCACCCCGCGACCCACCCACATTGCTGCATCGAAAAAAAATCGGCGCCTGCGGTGGGCTCGTTGTATGATTTGAAAGAATTCGGCACCTGCGGCGGGCTTCTTCAGAGCCTCGAAGAAGACTGCCGACGTCCTCGCCGCCCCCGCACTCGTATCCGCAACTGTGGGGTGCTACGCAATTGTTTGACAAGTCCTGGGGCCTGGCGAGGGCCCCCAGACGCTGAACATTGTCCGAACCGTCCGTCGCGATTTGCTTCCATTCTGCGCTCCCACGTTCCACCTGGACCCCGCTTTTCGCTCTGTGGACCTTGCGATGGGCGCACCCAGGGGCCCGCGGGGCCTCCATGGGACTCCAGCGCGCACCTTGGCCCAGATTGCAGGCGGCTGGGGGCTCTGCTCTGCGTGGGCACCGGCGACCCCCGGCCGGCTCCTGAGGCCCAGGGACACCCCTGGCAGCACCCGAGATGAGGTTGAGGTCGGGCACCTGCTCGACCTCCGGCGCCTCGGCCCACGTGGTGCCCGCGAGCCGCTCAAGCAGGCGCCGGGGCACGGCGCGCGCTGTGCGCGCGAGGGCGCAGGCACCGAGCTCCCGGGCGCGCGCCAGCGCCGCCCGAACGGCCGCCAGGGCGGAGGAGAGGATCGCCTCGAAGAAGGGAAAACTGCACCAATATCGACTGGGCAACAGAGGGCAAAGCGACGGGCATGAACAGGTCTTCTGCAGTGGCTTACGCGGGCCGCCAACGCGGCACGCCGCACTGGAAACGAGGGCGCTCACGCGCGATCTTGCGCAGCCAGCTTCTGCGCCAATGCTGGCGCAGTCGAGACCGTTTTTCAGCGCCGCTCATCTGTCGGAGTCCGCGCGGATTTTCTCGGATCGGCGCTGGAGCCTCCTCCCAAACGCGCGGAGCGCGCCAAGTGCGGCGCCAGAGGCGCCGCCAAGGGGGGCCTAAAGCCGATCCAAGAGATCCGCGCGGAGATCCGCCAGTCTTTCTGCTAAGGGTGGCTCTTCTGCGGGCAATCCTTCTGTCCATATCCACTGCAGTATAGAGTTTCAGGCTCTCTTCCACAGAAACCCGAGGAGCACTGGATATGGATACATTTACCCCCTGATGCTCGATCTTTACCCATGTCCAGTGCGCTTCGGCCTTGTGGCGCCCCTTCCGAGAAAGTGCAAGACGCACTGGCTATGGATATAGATCTTTTCCGTATTTTGATGCTCCTCGATCGCCTCCAGCCGCTCGTCGCACCACTGGCGCGCTGCGTCGACCCTCGCCGCGCTCGCGGCCTCGGCGAGCCGCACCGCCCACGCCACGGGCGCCTCGGCGAGCCCGGGGAGTGCGCAGAGCAGGGCGGCGTACCAGCGGCGCGCCAGCGCGCCGCGCCCGTCGCGGTGTGGCCGCTTGGAGGCGGCGCTGGGGTGGTCCCCGGCGTGCCTCACGCCCGCCATCGGGTGAGGCGGCTGTATGGAAGTCGGTGGTTTTTATTAGTATCACTAACGAATGGATGCTCTTTAGAACGTATGGGGGCTCGCCGAGGGGTCGTTCGGCGTGGACGGTGCTGAGCCTGAGTTTGCTGAGCCCAGTTTGCTGCGGACGAGAGGGGTGAGAGGGGGGGATTGCGAGAGCGGAAGAGACGGAACGGAGAGGGGCAGGAGGAGGAGGAGGAGGAAAAGGAGGAGGAGGAACCACAGGACGGAGTAGGAGGGGGGGGGATGAGGAGGGAGAGGATTGAGAAAACAGGGAAGGGGAAGGTGGAGGGGAGAAGGAGGACGAGGTGGCGGGAGAGAACGGGCAGGAGAGAAAGGAGGGATAGGATCTATAGGGAGATCCTAGGAGGGACGGAGGGAGGGATAGGAAGAGGCGGAAGACGAGCACCCTGCTTCCTGACGTCGTCAGAGCCCCCCAGACCCGCATGCCGAGACAACCGAACGATCAATAACGTGCACCAACTTGCCAATGACCATACCAATATTTGGGCGCCCATGTGACGCTACAACGCCATGGTGATTCATTGCCTCCACGCAAGAGAAACACGTGGCAAGAGTGGCCTCTTGTGCGCGGCTTCAGGGGGGCGCGGGGGGGCAACACCCGAGGGAGCAAGGTCGCCACTGTCGCGTCGCATTTGGCCAGCGGGGGACCCCAGTGAACCCGCACCCAAGGCGACTCCGGCGACGCAGCACTCTTGCTAGGCGGCGCACACAAAGGGATAGAGGGAGGGGGGCGGCTTCTTAGGAGGCTGCTTCATGGAAGGCGCCAGCGCTACATCTATAGATAAGGCCCGCGCCTTCTATCAAGCAGGGTGCTTCCAAGAAACTTCCACCCCTCCCTCCAACCCCCGCGTGCGCGTGGCTGACTTGCGCATGGCCGAATCAGGGATCTACTGGCCTGGGTCAATCTAAAACCCAGGTCAGTTGGGCCCTGCATGATCCCGCAAGATCCTGCACCCAAAACCGGGGTCAATGCACCCCTGGCCCCGCAGGATCGCGCAAGATCCGGCGCTCTAACTGACCCTCGTTTGCCCTGACCCCCGTCCCTTGAGCCTCGAGGGGGAGAAGAAAGACAGAAGCACGAGGATGCGCGGGAGAAGGATGAGGGGGAGGAGGAGGAGGAGAAGGAGGAGGAGGAGGAGGAGGAGGAGGAGGAGGAGGAGGAGGAGGAGGAGAAGAAGGGAGGAGAGGAGAGGGGAGGCGGAGGAGGAGGAGGAGCAGGAGGAGGAGGAGGAGGAGGAGGAGGAGGAGGAGGACGAGGACGAGAAGGAGGGCGAGGAGCTCGAAGCTCGAAGGCCGAGGATCCAACCCTCGGGGCTTCCTCGAGAAGCTCGACCCCTGCCCCTCGGGCCTCGTCGTGGCCGAGGCCCTGGCCGGCCCTGGCCCGACCATGCGCCGCTCGCACGCCGCACCCCCGCCGGGGGCCGAGGCCCGCGCGAGCGGCACGCGAAGACCTCCCCACGGCGGGCGGGCGCCGCCCCTCCCCGGGGAGGGGCGGCGCCCAGGCGTGCCCCGTTGTCCTCCTCCTCCCCTCCTCCTCCCACCTCCTCCTCCTCCTCCTCCTCCTCCCTCCTCCCTCCGCCTCCTCACTTCCTCACTTCCTACTCCTCCTCTCCCTTCCTCACTTCCTCTCCTCCTCTCTTCCTCCTCCTCTCTCCTCCTCCCTCCTCCTCCTCTCCTCACTTCTTCCTCACTTCCTCCTCCTTCCTCCTCCTCTCCTCCTCCTTCCATCTCCTCCTCTCTCCTCCTCCTCCTCCTTCCCGTGAACAGGCACCCAGCCCCGTCAACGAACGCCCGACCCCCCCCCCCCATGCGCAGTGCAGCGCAGCTCGCCGTCGCTCTGCCTCGCCGCGGCGCGTAGACGGCCCCGCCCGCGCGGGCACCCCTCGAAGGCCGCAGGTCCGCACGAGGAGGCGGCGCGCGTGCGCGTGGGCACTGTCCCAGCGAGACGCCTTCCCGGGTACATCTCACCCTCCCAGCCCCTCTGGTGCTTGGATGACCGTGGGGGGTATTAAGTGGATAGGGGGGTTACAAGTGGATGCCAAGGTGGGTTATGTCTGGCCCAACCTGGCTTACAAGTGGGATACAAGTGCCTTCAGTAGCTTTGGGGGGTTAACGATCCAGGCTAAGTGGGCTCCGCCCACTTAGCGGAGTTATCTAACCCCCTAAGCCATTCGGGGCGCTTGTAACCCACTTATAAGCCAGGTTGGGCCAGATATAGCCCACCTTAGCATCCACGCGTAACCCCCCTATCCACCTAGAACCCCCCACGGCCATCCCAGTAGGCGTGTTTCTTTTTTTGGGGGGGGGGGGGCTCCGGGCTTCGACCTTTGGCCGAAGGGTCGGGGACGGGGGCCCACCGTTCCCCACCCTTCGGCCCAGACCCCAGGCTAAGACCCGACCCAGGACAAGGCTAACTTAAGACCCAATCCGAGACTAAGACCCAAACTTAGGACTAAGACCCAACCTAAGACTAGCCAAACAACCCGAACGGGTATCCCCCCATCTAAGACTGAGCACCGTCCCAGACCCAGACCCCCACCCCTGGGGGTCTGGGGGTCTGGGCCGGTGCTTAATCTTGGGAAGTAACTGCTGGGAGGTCTTCGTTGGAAGGACTCGGGGGAATGAGGCCCCCCTGGGAGCTGCTGCGCCGGATTAGGCCGCGGATTGAGCGGGATTGAACCAGATTAACGGGGATATAGCGGGGTTAGGACCGGCCACGAGTTGCATCCGAAGTGGGGGAGGGGGGGTCTGGATCTGGGCTGGTGCTTAGTCGATCTGGTTCTACCAGTCGCACAAGCAAAGTTGGGGTGCGAGCTCCTGACCAGTCGCCAAATGCAGCCGCCAAATGCAGCCAAGGTGTGGTCTATGGAGGGGGACGGGGTGGGTCGGCGGGGCCCCGCGCCGATCAGCAAACCAATACAAATTACCCGAGACGTAATCCACCCCCCTCTCCACGGGAGGCCAATATTTGTATGAACGCTCCATACAACAAAACACACATCGCCAGATATGCACGATCTGCGCTGCCCTTATCTCTGCCGTGACCCCCAGGAGTCCACGGCAAACAAGGCGACGGTTGCACAGTTCCGAGGCTCCCAGGGAACCGCGAGGTCTTCGGCTGGATCCGCCTGGCCCCCGACTCCGCTGGACCTCACAGGAGCCCACACGAGTGCCGACAGTTGCGCCGTTCGCAGCCACCGAGGGAGCTTCGAGGCCTCGGGTACTCCCCTACTCCGCCGTCCCTCCAAGGAGCCTACGAAAGTGGCGACGGTTGCGCAGTTCGCAACCTCACAAGGAGCTGCGAGGTCTCGGGTATTCCCGTTCTCCGCCTTGCCTCAAAGGAGCCCGCGACGGTGGCGACAGTTGCGCAGTTCGCAGCCTCACAGGGAGCTGCAAGGTCTCGGGAACTCCCCTAACTCCGCCGTGCCTCCCATGGGCCCACGAAAGTTCGCAACCTCCCACATCGAGGTCTCGGGACATTCCCCTACTCCGCCGTGCCTCCCAGGAGTCCGCAAAAATGGCGATAGTTGCTCAGTTCGTAGATTCTCAGGAAATTGCGAGGTCTCGGGTACTCCCCTACTCCGCCATGCCTCCCAAGATTCCGCAAACATGGCGACAATTGCGCAGTTTGTGGACTCTGAGAGATCCGCGAGGCCTCTGGTACTCCCCTACTCCGCCGTGCCTCCCAGGAGCCCGCGAAAGTAGCGACGGTTGCGCAATACGTAGGCGTCCAGGGAGCTGCGAGGCCTCGGGTACTCCCATACTCCGGCGTGCCTCCCAAGAACCCACGAAAATGGCGACAGTTGCGCCGTTCGAAGCCACCCGCGGAGCTGCGATGTCTCGGGTACTTTCCTACTCCGCCGTGCCTCCCAGGAGCCCACGAAAGTGGCGACGGTTGCGGAGTTCGCAGCCTCACAAGGAGCTGCGAGGTCTCGGGTACCCCCCCAGCCTCCCATGAGCCCGCGAAAGTGGCGACAATGGCGCAGATCGCAGCCACCCAGGGGGCTGCGCGGTCTCGGGTACTCCCCTGCTCCGCCGTGCCTCCCAGGAGCACACGAAAGTGGCGACAGTGGGGCTGTTCGCAGCTACCCAGGGAGCAGCGCAGGAGGAGGCAGGAGGAGAGGAGAAGGAGGAGAGGGCGAAGAAGGTTCGCGATCGCAGTGTTAGATTCAAAACGAGAGCCCAACGGAACGTTGGGGGGGGGGGGGGGGGAAAACCACCTACTCCTCCGCGGCCGCCCTCCTCCGCTTGCTCCCCGCCTTCTGACATCGAGTTCGCCGTGCAGCGACCCCGCCTGCAGGTTTCGCCCGCGCCCTGCGCCGCGAAAGCGGACACGAGGGTGCCTAGACGAAGCTGCCCTCGACCCGTGCGGAGGCAAGCCTCTTGCCCTCTCTAGCTCGGTGCTGCTAGGAGTGCTCCTGGCCCAAGGTGCCCCCCAGCTCTGCGCTCCGTTCTGGAGCTCCCGGGGCGCCCTGGGCCTCGTGAGGGGTGCCCTGGAGGCCGCCTGGGCCACCCCGAGCATCCTTGGGGGGCACCCTGGGCCAGGGGCACCTCTCGCAGCACTCGATCGCCAGGAGGGCAGCTCTTCACCCCCACTGGCTCCCGCCGCCCTCCGCCGGCGGAGGCGGCCTCGCTCCACCTCCGCGGCCCTCCGCCGCCCCGTCGCCGCCCCGTCGCCGCCCTGTCGCCGCCGAGGGAGAGGCGCCAACTTCTCTCCGCTCCTCGAGGCTGGCCTCGAGGGCGAGGCCCTCGAGGCTGGAACCCCGAGGGCGAGCCTCGAGGGCCTCGCCTCGAGCCTCGCAGGAGGGTTCCAGCTGGAGCCTCGAGGGCGAGGCCCTGGCTGGCACGCCTCCTGTGGCTGGCAGAGGCTTCAGAAGCTGACTGCCCACCAGACCACCCCGACCCAACCCGCAGGCCCGAACTTCGGGTTGGTGGGGGGGGTCATGGGCTCCATGTGTGTGGTTCTCGTTGCTCCCGGACCGCCCCCCCACTGGACATGGAGGGGCAAAGTGAGGCCTTCGGGTCGGGTTGGGGTGGTTTGGTGGGCGGCGAAAGGCCGCCTCGGTTCTGGCGAGGAGCCGGAGGTCCGTGCCGCTGTCCGTGCTGAGAGGACGTCAGCTCTACACGCCTGCACCGATCCTGGGTGGTCTGGTGGGTGGTGCGTAGAGGGAGGAGAATTATGCACATACACCGATTCTGGCCAGGCCCACCCTGAGCCCAGGATCGGTGCATACGCCATCCTGCCTTGGCCAGGAGGGCACACGCACCGATCCTGGGCCCAGGATGGGCCAGGCCAGGATCGGTGCATATGCATAGTTCTCTTCGCCCGAGTGCAAAGCAGTGCGAGCGGGGGCGCAACGAGAGTGCGAACAGGCTTGTGGCGCCCGAGCCGCCCGCCGCCTGCGTGCCGGCTGGCCTCGTGAGCGCCCTCCGGCCGTGCAGAGCTGCGGGGGACCGCGAGCGCTCTGGCACACGTCGCCAGCCTGGCGAGGAGGCCTCGCGGCCTCGCGAGAGAAGCGCCCGGCGCGCCCTGCCTGCTGGGCCTGTTTTTTCCACCACCACCACCACAAGTTGGAGGGGGGAAGGAGGTGGAGGATGAGGAGGAGGAAGGAGAGGGGGAGGAGGACACGCTCCCCCCTCCAACTCATGGTGGTGGTGGTGGAAGACATGCCCATCACTGCCCACACGACCGGTGGGCGGCGAGGAGTGCCCGAGCGCTGTTTCGCCGCGGGCCGTCAGTGGAATGACCCCCTGGTCGGGGGCGCGCTGGCCCGAGGACAGCGCTGCAGCGCCCAGCCCAGGCATCCAGCGCCCCGACGTGCTCGAGACGCGGCGCTCCACACGCCCCGCCTCGTCCCCAGGGGCCGGCGCGGCACCCGCGCTGGTTCTGGAGGGCCCCGGGGCCCCAGCCTGGCCTCGCGGGGGGGGGGCCCAAGCTGGCGACAGCCCGGCCGCCTCGACCTCTCGAGGCGCCGGACACAGACGTCCGATGCCTCCACGTCACAGGGGCCCACTAGGGCACACTAGTACATACACACATCCACAGATTCACAATATTTTCCAACATTTCCTCCTCGATTTTCGTCAACCATCCTGTGGTGTTGGGTCCTCGCTTTGAAGAGACAGCGCCCGGCGTTCCTCTCCTCCTCCTCCTCCTCCTCCTGCCCCTCCTCCTCCCCCGCCTCTCTCCTCCCACCCGCCTCGTCACCTACCTGCGTTTCCCCAATCCAGGACAACGCTTCGTGGCCCCATAGGGAGCTCCACCGAAGGCCCCAGCGGCAGGGTTTGCATGCGAGCCCCCGCCAATTTCGGCACACCCCTCACACGTTCCGTAGCCCCATAGGGAGCTCCACCGAAGGCCCCTGCGGCAGGGTTCGCATGCGTCCCCCCGCCAATGTCTGCACACCCCTCACACGGATCGTGGCCTCATAGGGAGCTCCGCCGAAGGCCCCAGCGGCAGGGTTACATGCGTCCCCCCGTCCATGTCGGCACACCCCTCACACGGATCGTGGCCTCATGGGGAGCTCCGCCGAAGGCCCCAGCGGCAGGGTTTGCATGGGTCCCCCCGCCCATGTCGGCACACCCCTCACACGTTCCGTGGCCCCACAGGGAGCTCCACCGAAGGCCTCAGTGGCAGGGTTCGCATGCGTCCCCCCGCCCATGTCGGCACACCCCTCACACGGTTCGTGGCCCCATAGGGGGCTCCTCAGAAGGCCCCAGCGGCTGGGTTCGTATGCGTCCCCCCGCCGATTTCGGCACACCCCTCACATGTTCCGTGGCCCCATAGGGAGCTCCGCCGAAGGCCCCAGCGGCAGGGTTCGCATGCGTCCCCCCCGCCCATTTCGGCACACCCCTCACACAGTTCGTCCCCCATAGGGAGCTCCGAAGGCAGTGGCAAGCGCCCCCGTCCGCATGCGTCCCCCCGTCCATGTCGGCACACCCCTCACACGGATCGTGGCCTCATAGGGAGCTCCGCCGAAGGCCCCAGCGGCAGGGTTTGCATGGGTCCCCCCGCTGATTTCTGCACACCCCTTACGAGGATCGTGGCCCCAAGCTTCACCGAAGACCCCAGCGGCAGGGTTTGCATGCGTCCCCCCGCCCATGTCGGCACACTCCTCACACGGTTCGTGGCCCCATGGGGAGCTCCGCCGAAGGCCCCAGCGGCAGGGTTCGCATGCGTCCCCCCCCCCATGTCGGCACACCCCTCACACGGATCGTGGCCCCTTGGGGAGCTCCACCGAAGGCCCCAGCGGCAGGGTTCGCATGCGTCCCCCCGTCCATGTCGGCACACCCCTCACACGGATCGTGGCCCAATAGGTAGCTCTACCGAAGGCCCCAGCGGCAGGGTTTGCATGGGTCCCCCCGCTGATTTCTGCACACCTCTCACGAGGATCGTGGCCCCAAACTTCACCGAAGACCCCAGCGGCAGGGTTCGCATGCGTCCCCCCGCCCATGTCGGCACACCCCTCACGAGGTTCGTGGCCCCATGGGGAGCTCCACCGAAGGCCCCAGCGGCAGGGTTTGCATGCGTCCCCCCGCCCATGTCGGCACACCCCTCACACGGATCGTGGCCCCATAGGGAGCTCCGCCGAAGGCCCCAGCGGCAGGGTTCGCATGCGTCCCCCCGCCCATGTCGGCACACCCCTCACACGGATCGTGGCCCCATAGGGGGTTCCACCGAGAGCGGTACCCACAACGCGGTACTCATAGCTGCATATGGTTGGGTCCTTCGCCAAGGTACTTGTTTCCCTCTTGGAACAGATTCAACACGGGTCACCATGGGGGGACGGACCCTGAGGGAAACCGGTCCTGGACCCTGAGGCCTTCACCCCAGCACGACATCTTCATCCCACGTGGCTTTCTGCCAGTCCCAGCGCCCGCGGGAGGTCCCGCTGGACCGAAAGCGGCAAGCAAAAAACCTCAGGGCCCATTTCCCTCAGGACCCGCTCCTCCGACGGCGACCAACATACAGTGGAGGTCAGTCCACAAGAAACCTTCCACAAGAAACCCAACCCTGAGACACCAGGGCGTCCATTGATTTTCGATGTGGGAACGTCGCGCTTTCCACAGCAAAACCCTCGAGGCCCAAGAAACCAAGGGCACCCTGGAGGCAAGCAGGGTGTTCCTTGGCATGGGTCTCCACTGTACGTTCTGCCTCACGCCGCACAGGTACTCTCTATGGGGCTCCCGGGCAAGCAACATCCGGCCCCCTTCGAGGCGCATGGCGCGTGGCAGGCGAACGATGGCTGTGGCCGCCGGTGCCCCATGGACTGCCCGCAGCGGGGCCCCCACTGGAGGCAAGCAGGGTGTTTCTTGGCATGTCGGGAGCGGCCAAGAGGGGGGTGTCCAAGAGGGGGGGGGGGGGGGGGGCAAATCATGACAGGCGGCATGTGCGCGGCCCAGCGGGGGGGCCTGGGACGTAATGAAATAAGCAGAGGCGCCATGAAATCTGAGGAAAATCATGGCCCGCGCCATGAAATCCCCCCCCCCCTAGTCATCACCCCCCTCTTTGCCGCTTCCGAGCATGGGCCCCGCTGTATTCCACACGGGCCCTCCCGGAAGTGCCCGCCCTCTCTCCGAGGGGGCCTGCCTCTCCTCCCGCCCGAGCCGCAGGCCCGTGCACGGCCCCAGGGCCGAACGCGAGGAGGCCAAGAGGCCGCATGCGCCGAGCGCCCCTCCGCCGCAGCCATGCAGAACTGATGGTAGGGTCAGGTCGGGCGCGTCCCCCTGCAGGCGGATGTTGGGCGCGTTTCTGTTTTATCTTATTATGTCTATGTGTACAGGTGTGTACATATATATATATATATATATATAGAGATGTATATTGAAAAACTCCAAAACAGTCAACAACAAATAATCAACCATAGTCCCCAGACTATGTGGTACGATTTCTGAATACACCTCCTGCAGAGGGACAGGCCCGACTTCATGGTAGGGGTGCGCGGTAGGGGTGCAGAGGGGGCTGGGCGCCCATGCCGAAGCTTTCTTCGAGCGGAGCGGGGCTGGCCATCGAAAGTTCGACGAGCGAGCTCCACTACTCGCAAAGTAACTACTCGCAAATGGCCTGGATTCCTCGAGGGGGATCCACGATAAACTACATCAAAGCAGACATGTGTCTTTTTTCCTGACGTTTGCGAGTGGGCACTTTGCAAGCAGTGGAACGCGGCCGGTGAAAGGGCCTGAGGATAGACCAGAGATGACGGGAGAGGCACGGATGCCATGGCACCCGTGGAGAAACCGATCACCCGTACTCGCCATCGGCCTCGGCTGTACCCTGCCACGACGCGGGCAGGCCCGGGGCGGCGGGGCCTGGTCTTTCCGTGAGGAGCACAGCACCGCATCGCAGCCGGGCACGGCTGAGGAACCCTAGAGGCTGAGTTGCGTCAGATCACAGGCGACAGTGCTCCCGAACGACGCTGTTGCGGGATGGTCCACTCGCGTGGCTGCCAGCCGTCAGGCGGATCGGAAGATGGCGTTCCATTGAAGCAGAAGCCAGAGGAGAATGATGAGGCAGGGGAAGGCGAGGCGGGGCCTGGTCTATGCTGTGGATGCTGGCGTCCATCCGCCTCTCCAGCTTCAGCAGGCGGTTGTGCCCAGAGTCTGCCACCGCCTGGAGGGGCTCCACCTCGGAGAGGCGGGGATGAGGCGAGGACTTTTGGGGGAGCTGCCATGCGGATGAGGCCAGAGGCCTGTCGGCGACACGCGGCACGCGGCTGGCAGAACGGAGGCAGGGAGGAAGGGAGGGAGGGAGGATGGACGACGAGAAGGAACACACGACGACGGCGACGAACGACGTGCGAGGAGGTGAGAAGGGATGGGGGGGAGGGGACGAGGATCACAGGGACAATCATGGGGGGACGACAAGCACGAGGGCTGAGGAGGTTTGAGGAAGGGGAAGTAGGAGACAGGTACTCGTCCTCCTCCTCATCCACTCCTCCTTCCCCTCCGCCACCTCCTCATCCTGCTCCTCCGCCTCCTCCTCGTCGCCCACTGGAGGAGAGGAGGATGATGAGGAGGAGGAGGAGGACGACGACGAGGACGATGGGCATGATTGGGACGAAGAGAAGGAGAAGGGCGCGAACATGAGGAGACGCCAGCACTTCTGTTCACGCCTCCCCCACATCGACGGCGCCAGGGAGAAGGGGGATGGAGGAGGGGGTGGAGGGTTGAGGGTGCACGAACATGGAGATTTGAGGAGTGAGATGGGAGGGAGGAGTAGGCAGAGGAGGAGGGAAGACGATGAGGACGACGAAGAGGAAGATCATCAAGGTGGGGAGGACATGGATAAGGCAAGCGGGGAAAGGGCGGGGATGCCGTAGGAAGGAGGGGAAGGGAGGAAAACAACAATCAGGACAGATGAGGGATTCAGGATAGCCAGGGAGGAGGAGGGAGGACAGAGGAAGACGAGGGTGGGGGAAACGGTGAGGGAAGCCCCACGAACGATCGTGGACGTGCTTGGCCGGAAAGCACGGCGAAAATACCAGAGCCGAGGCGGCGGCCACGTGCATGCTGAAGAGCACCTGGCGGGCACCGCAGCCGCTTGCGGTTCCTCCTCCTCCTTCTCCTCATCAATGTGGTGAAAGCTACGTGTTGCAAGTTATGTGGTGCCCTCAACATGGTTCAAGTTAAGTTATGTGGTACGACCCTGCGAGATGCAGGCCATGCGGCAAGCTGGCTGCGCGCCGCATATGGTATGGCACATTCGGTGATCACTGCCATCTATACACATATATACACATTTGTATACGTGTGCGTGTGTGTGGTGCAAGCTATGCGTGACAAGCTGTGGGGTGCAAGCTATGTGGTGAAGGTTATGTAATGCAATATGCGTAATGCCAACTGTGTAAAAGCATCCGCCCATCGCACAGGCCGCCCAGGGAGCGCTCACGGGCGGGCACCAGGCGAAACCGCGGCACACCAACCTAACGGACACCCCCGAGGCGCCAACGCGACCGTGCGGCCACCAACACGGCACGGGGCGTCACCCCCACACACCCGTTCAACTTCTCTGAGGCACGACAGCTCACAAACCGTACGTGCAAGCATCGCATGGGAAATCAGAATGATGGGGCCGAACGGTCGTTCAGTGTCCCGGGGCGTGTGGCTGAAGTGGGGTTCCGCAGTGCGGATTGTAGTTGTTTTTGCGTTGTTGAGTTCATGATTCCCCCCTGGTGCACTCGTACTCTCTAATGAAAATGCTCCTGCCTAGGCTCTCATACAGTTTTTCAACTAGGGGAAACCTGGCGGCTCAAATTGGATTGTTGGCCCCCGGATCTACAACAACGGCTCCAGACTGATACTCCTTCGCAGTGTCTGTCATGATGCTTCTCCCGCGGGGGACTTCCTCACAATGTGTGCAGAACTCGCGCCCTCGCGTGGTACCTCCTCGCAATATGCATTGCGGCGCCGTGCCCCCAACACTCAGGAATTCCGCTGCCGCTCTGGGCTACCTGATGACTTGCTTGCGAAGCGCGCTATCGCGTGAGAGCGCCGATTCGTGCCGAACCGACTCCTCTGCGACCCGCCCGCTGGACCCCGGCCGTCTGGGCCCGCCGCCCGACCCGCCCGTTGTAGAGTCTACCCGCACGACCCCCCAAGGCTGGTTCTGCCGCTTGCCGTCCTGCTCCACCCCCCCCCCCCTCCTTCTCGTCTCTCTCGTGCTCCACCGGCGGCGGGCGGCGCGGTGGCGGCGGCGGCGGCGGCGGACAGCGGCGGTGGCGGCGGCGGCGCGGCGGTTGCGGCGGGCGGCGGCGGCGGCGGCGGAGGCGGCGGCGCGGCGGATTCGCCCCCACTAGCTGCCCATCCAAAGACGACTGCTGAATATGCTGCGGCTCGGGTCAGGTTCGGGTGCTACGTATGTGTTGGGAGGGGAGTCTTGATCCTTCTCCCTACCCCTTCCATCCGTCCTGGTTTCCCCTGCTCTAGGGGCTGCACCAAGTACACGTGGCGGGTGAGGAAGATATGCCCCCAAATCGAAGACGGCGAGGGCGGGTATCGAGGGGTTGGGGATATTCGTGTTGAATGGCACGCGAGCAAGTAACAGCGAACAACATTAAAATGAGTGTTGATAAAAACCCACTTCCAGAACATAGATATAGTTGATCCACCAATTGCCCATTGCCTTGTTCAATTCGCATGCTCCTGCCTTAAGTCGCACCCTGTTTTTTCACTAAAAAAAGTCTTGCCGCTCAGCTTGGTATGCTGGCCCCCGAACTACAATAACAATTAGTTTAAGACTGTTCGCTCTTATCCGCTCGCGTTCCATTCAACACGTGTACCCCTAGCCCTGTGTACCCGTCCTCTTCGTCCTCGATCGTGCCCTCGTGGAAGTATATTTTCCTTACCTGCAACTTTTGCTCCGTGCAGCCCCTGAAATCGGGGAAGAGACGAGTAACTAGGCGACCAGGTCGAGCAGGCCGGCTGCTGAAGCGTAATATTGCATGAGGCGCGTGGAGGTCTTGAACGATAGCGCGATTCCCAAGTAAATCGTCAGGACATCCTCAGCGAGAGCGCGATTCCTGAGTGTCGGGGGCGCGGCGCCTGAGTACATTGCAAGGATGTCCCATGCGAGAGCGGGATTCCTGCATGCATTGTGAAGAAGCCCCGCGCGAGAACGCGATATTGGAATACATTGTGAGGACATGTCAGGCGGGAGACGCTGTTCTAAAGAGGGAGCCACAGACACAGTATGGTGACACCTCACTTTCCTTTGCAGAAGACAAGCTGCAAGCCACGGGGGGGCACTTTGACTGAAAAATGCGATGGTTAGGGGAGGGCGGGGGGAACCAACAGTACTTCCTTTTGAAAAGTAATCTTCAACATCAACAAGTACAACAACAACGACAACACCAACGAACACAACAACAGCAACGCCAACAACGATGACGACGAGAACAAAAACAACAATAAGGGCTTCAGACTGATACATCCTCACACTGTATTTCAACATATTTCTCTCGCGCGGGACTTTCTCATAATGTATACAGGACTCGCGCTCTCGCGTGGTACTTCCTCTCAATGTTTTGCGGCGCTGTGTCTCCGAACACACCGGCATCGCGCTGTCGCTTTGGACTTTCTCACGATTCACTTGGGAATCGCGCTATCGTTCGAAACTTCCCTTCGATTCGTGTTGGATTGACGCTTCAGCGACCCGCCCGCTCGACCTGGCCGTCTGGGCCAGCCCGCCCGACCCGGCCGTTAGGGTCCGCCCGCCCGACCTGCCCGTCTGGTTCTGCCGCTTGAATTCCTGCTCCTAACCCCCCTGGTGCTAATCCCTCTCGTGCTCCTTCTCCCTCCCCCTTGTCTCTTTACTCCTCCCTGCCTTCGCCTGTTTCAGGGGTTGCGCCAACTACATGTGGCAGGTAAGGAAGACTTACCCCCTAAGGGGGGTACGATTGAAGACGAAGTTGGCGAAGATCGAGAGTTTGGGACATTCATGCCGAATGACATGCGAGCCGATAAAAATGAATGTTGTTGTCGTCGTCTTCGCCCGCGACCCGCCCGCGGCCCACCCGCGACCCAACCCGCGACCAACCCCGCGACCCACCCCGCGACCCACCCGCGACCCACCCGCGACCCACCCGCGACCCACCCGACACCCACCCCGCGCCCGCCCCCTCTATTTGTTCTTTCGACGTGGGTTAGAGTCAAGCGCTGACTCCCCTGCAGCACGCAGGGACCGCACGAGGACCCGAAGAAGACGAACGAGCGAGGGCCCGAGGGAGACACCACGGCTGAGGGACATCGACGGAGCGAAGAACCGAGGCCCGAAACCCGAGGGGACACGCCACGCAGGGCAAGAGGGAGGCAGGCACTGCCGCTGACTTTGACTGGGAGACCCAAGTCCTGCAAGAGGCCGAAGGAGGCCGCCATCGGCTCCTTTTGGTGGCGCCCGCCCCCTCGCTCTCATCCGCAGCTGCGGGGTGCCACGTGCATGCAAGCCGTCTGCGTTCCGCGCGGATCTGCCGGATCGGCACTCGACCTCCAGCGCCGGTCCAACAAATCTGAGCAGACCTCCAAGCCTTCACGTCGATGCGGCCCTTCCATGTCGTGCACATCCTTCCGATCCCTTCGTCCTCCTCCATCTAGCATTGATTTTAGCGGAGCCCAACGCCCTGTCCTTGTCCCTGTCTTCCTCCGCCTCCGCCTCCGCCTCCTCCTCCGCCTCCGCCCTCCTCCTCACTGCATTCTTGCCGACGGGCCGAGGTTTTGAAGCGGCGGCCCCCAATCCTCAGGACTATTCCCGCACGGTCGCCGGCTTCTCGCTCCTGGTTAAGCGCCGCTTGCATAGGTGAAGGGGCCCTGGGACACACAAATGAATAAGCGCAAATAAGAGGATTCTTCATATTTTCCTGTATTTTCTGGGTTTCTGTCTTCCCCCCCACTTCCCATATTTTCCCATATTTTCTTGGAAATCGACGATTGATTGTGTCTGTGTGTTTTTCCCTCCTGAATAGGGCGAAACCTCGGGGGCGGCTTTCGCTCCAGCCGCCTCGGGAGATGCGACGAGACCTCCTCCTGCTGCTCCCGCGGTGCTCGACGTGATGGCAGCGCTTACCATCCTCGCCGGCAGGCCCCTTTTCCCGGGCGTCCGCCCGTCTGATGGTGTCTGGCCCCAGTGGTCCTCCTCCTCCTCCTCCTCCTCCTCCTCCTGCTCCTCCTCCTCTTCTCCCCCTCCTCCTCTTCTCCCCCTCCTCCTCCTCCTCCTCCTCCTCCTCCTCCTCCTCCTCCTCCTCCGCCCGTCTGATGGTGTCTGGCCCCAGTGGTCCGGACACCTTCCCTGGGGGCAGCTCTGCGTCCGGGAATCAATTGGTTGATGGCCGCGGGGTCCGAGAGCGCCCCCCAGGGGGCCGAAACAGAAAAATGCCACGATGGAGAGAATGGTCTCGGTTACCCCCCGACAGCCTGCGCCAGCCGCAAGGTGACGAACGCCATGGTGACTAGGATGACGACCCCGGCCGCCTGCATGGCGATCATGGACCTGGCGGGAGGGGCCTGGCACCCCGAAGCTGCGCCCAGCTTCAATGACGTCGCCTTGCGCGTGCCCCTCCTCCTCATCCTCCTCCTCGTCTTCGTCCCCGTCCTCGTACTCCTCCTGCTCTACCTCCTCCTCTGCGGCTTGACTCCTGAGAGGCACCGAAGGGCGGCCTCCGTCCGTGCCCCTTGGACAGAACTCCTCCCCATCGCATCCCCCAAAACGTGTCGGCAGGGCGGGCCGGGCGTTTCGCCTGAGACCTCCGACCACTGCTGATGCTGAGCTTTGAAAAACGCACCGGCATCACGGATGGAAGACAATTGGATTTCAAAATATGTGGCTCTCGCCTTGGCGCTGCGCACACTTGCCCTTTCTAATAGTTTGTAATTGCTTCAAGGATGGAGGGCTGGTCCTTTTCAACATGAGGCTCTCGCCGTAGTAGCGCACGCATTCGTCGTGAAAGTCTGCAACCGGTTCACGGATGGAGGGCGGGCCATCTTCGAACTGTGGCTCTCACTTTAGCCTGGCGAACATTCGTCGTGAAAGCTTGCAGCAGTTTCAACGTTGGGGGGCGGGTCGTTTTCAAACTGCGGCTCCTGCCTCAGCGCCGCGCATACTTGTCTGAAACATGTACATCAACTTCATGGACAGAGGGCGGGCCCTTTTCAAAATGTCGCTTTGGCCGCAGCGCGGCGGACAGACTGCTCCAAAGACTACAGCATATTCAAGGATGGAGGGTGGTTCCTTTTCAAAATACGGCATTTCCCGTGGCGCCGAGCACACTCGTCTGTAACATGTGCAACAGTTTCAAGGATTCGTGTGGTTGGAAATACCAGGAATAATGTTCTGGCACGGATCAGGATTGTCAGGACCAAGCAGTCACGTTGGTTCGCGGAGTTGCACTCCCAGGAATGATGTTCTGGCTCGATTTCGACTTGCCAGGACGCAGCAGTCACATTGATCCGCGGAATGCCCCAGGAATGGTGTTCTGGCATGATGGAGGATTCTCGGACGCCTGCCCTCAAATGGTACAGGCACTCCCCAAAGTGAAGATATTGTTGTTGTAGAAATCTACGAGGGGGACCTCGGAGGAAGGGTTTCGTATAACATCGTTGATGCTCATTGGCTCTCACTACACTTGTACGTACTTCTCCTTCTGCTGCTTCTTCATCCTCCGCCTCTCCCACGTCATCCTCCTTCAACGCGTCATCCTCGGTCCTCTCCGGTTCCGCCGCTGTGGCCTCCAATTCCTCCACCTGTGCCCCCCCCCGTCCTCTGGGGCACCCCGCCGGTACCACCAGAGAACGGCTCTGGGGGCCGTCGGCTTGAACAAAGATCGGGCAGGACAAGGCTCACTGCACCGACCTTGCAGACGTGCTGCAGCGGATTCTTGCGTGGATTTCTGCGAATGCAAAACCCCGACGCCACATGCAAAACGGCCATTTCTGCCGCACAAAATTCACCCCGAAATCCGGAACGAAATTCTCCAAGACACTCTGGGCCCATCCTACTGTTTTCCGAACGAAATCCGCTCTGCGATGTTGGCGCCATGACAAGGCCGCTCACCAACCCTGTCCACAGTATCCAGATAGCCCCTGCTCCCTTCCCCTGACTGCCCGTCTGGCTCCTCGGGGCCACTGGCGGACGCGGCCAAACCGACGAGCCGCACGCGCTTCACTCCTCTCCTCTCTCTCGGGAGAGGCAAAGAGGGGGGTGACGAAGAGGGGGGGGAGGTATTAGGGCTCGAAGCAAGTGCTGCGCACAGCTCGCAGGGCTACGCACGCGCGAACGCAATCGGATATCAGTCAGAGAAGCCCGCTGACCGCCAGAATCATCGGTTCAGAACCAAAGCCAGCCAGCCAGATTGCGGCCCAGTCGCACGCTACGCGAATGCACGCCGATCGCAACACAACCAGAGGCCAGTCGCTACGAACTGAATTTAAATCACGCGCGCACAGGTCGATCAACGAGGCGTGATTGGACGTGCCATCCACCCGACCTAATCGTGTTTTCGCAACCCCCAGGGCCCTCAGATTCCCAGCATCTCGTGTCCGTGCTATGCATTCTATGGGAACGTCATTGCCAGCGTCACGTGTTCTCTCGAAACTCGAGGCCAAGGAGCGGATCGAGCGCCACCATTGGGCACCGCAAGGTTTTCGTGATCGGCCCCGTCGCAAATGCGCCGCGGCGCCGCGAGCCGCGGCATCGTGGGAACACGCGGCCATTGAGGTCACGGGCCAGAGTGCCGAGAAACCACGGGCCGCCACGGGGCCATGGAGCCGCGAGCCATGGGGCGCTCAAAGCCACGGTGCAACGGAACGCAATAACAACGAACAACGAACATCTGCAACGCGGTAAGTTCGCATTGCGTCACCGGTGAACTGTGCCTGCCGACTGCGCGGGCAGAACGAACTTACACAGCGGGTGCAAACAAACGCTCTGGTTGTTCAGCTTTGAAGTCCATCATGAACTGAATCATGATACTGAAGGGGCCCCAGGACACACAAATAAATACACACAAATAAAAAGATTCCCCATATTTTCCAATATTTTCTGGGTTTTTGTCTTCCCCGTCACTTCCCATATTTTCCTATATTTTCCTGGGAATCGACGATTAATTGTGTCTGTGTTTTGTCCCCTCCTGAGATACGCACACCCCCCTAGTCCTCACCCCCCTCTTGGCCGCTCCCGACTCTCTCCGCCAGCGGACCCGCCAAACCCGCCGGGCATCAGCATCACGACGCCGAAGAGGAGGAAGACACCCGCGAGGACGAGGTGGACAATGGCCTGCAGGATCAGCCAGCATCAAGTCGGAGAGTCGGATCAGATTGGAGCTGGCGCCGGATGGGGCCCCATTGGCACGCGGTCCAAATCGAATCGAATCGGCCGCGTCAAGATGCACAACCCGGGCCACGCGAGCATCATGCCAAGCCGGCTCGTCGCAGCACCAGTATCACATCGGATCGGACCAGCCGACATCGATATCGAACCGAATGAGCCCTGGCCTGGCATACATCGCCGATCCAGCTCGTCGCAACACCCAAAGCACATCGGATCGGGCCAGCCGACATCAACATCGAACCGAATGAGCCCTGGCCTGGCAGACATCGCCGATCCAGCTCGTCGCAAAACCCAAAGCACATCGGATCAGGCCAGCCGACATCAACATCGAACCGAATGAGCCCTGGCCTGGCAGACATCGCCGATCCAGCTCGTCGCAACACCCGAAGCACATCGGATCGGGCCAGCCGACATCAACATCGAACCGAATGAACCCTGGCCTGGCAGACATCGCCGATCCAGCTCGTCGCAACACCCACAGCACATCGGATCGGGCCAGCCGACATCAACATCGAACCGAATGAGCCCTGGCCTGGCAGACATCGCCGATCCAGCTCGTCGCAACACCCGAAGCACATCGGATCGGGCCAGCCGACATCAACATCGAACCGAATGAACCCTGGCCTGGCAGACATCGCCGATCCAGCTCGTCGCAACACCCACAGCACATCGGATCGGGCCAGCCGACATCAACATCGAACCGAATGAGCCCTGGCCTGGCAGACATCGCCGATCCAGCTCGTCGCAACACCCGAAGCACATCGGATCGGGCCAGCCGACATCAACATCGAACCGAATGAGCCCTGGCCTGGCAGGCATCGCCGATCAGGAACCACCCCACGCGGCTCAAGTACCACACGTACTGGTGGAGGCGCATGCGCGCCCGGCGGCCGAACCGCTTCTTATCCTGGCTGGCTGGCGCGCGCCCGCGCACGCCCGGGCGCACGGACCAGGCGGCAAAAGTGCACAGCCTCCTCCCCCCGCAGGCTCCCCCGTTCTCCCTCTACCCGCTCCTCTGCCTCCTCCTCCTCCAGCTCCTTCTCCTCCTCCTCCTCCTTCTCCTCCTCCTCCTCCTCCTCCTCCTTTTCCTGACCCCCCGCGCCTCCTGCTGCTCCCCCGCCCCCGCCTCCCCCCACTCTCTCCTTTCCCCTCCTCCCCTCGTCTCCTCCGCCTCCTACTCGGCCTCCTCCTGATCGCCGTTCTGGTCCTCCTCATCCTCGTCCTCCTCCTCCTCCTCCTCCCCGGACCTCTGCTTAGTGCGACTGTTTGGGACCGTGCGTCCTACGGGGGAGATTCCACCTGCTCGAAACAGGCGCCAAAAACAGCCAAGATCTACACCCCGAGGGGGAGGGGGGAAGGGGGGTGCGAGGTCCAGCGCCGATCAGCAAAAGAATGTGGGAAAAAACGCTCACAAGCCTAACATCCCCCCCAGAAGGCCCCTCCCACGTCTCGGAGCGGTTCCATTGACGCCTCGGGGGCATCCTCCGACCACGTGCACTTCCAACTCCCACAGGCGTGTTTCTGGAAGGCGGGGGGGGGGCGGTGTCTCGCAAGGGGCGTCGTGGACAAATGCGTAATTATGCGTGTGCGTATGTGTATATATGTCTATTTACATATATATATATATATATATATGTATGTGTGTGTGGTTGCATGTATGTATGTATGTATGTATGTATGCATGTATGTATGTATGTATGTATGCAGGTATGAATGTATGTATGCATGTATGTACGATATGAATGGGTACATGCATGCATGCATGCATGCATGCATGCATGTATGTATGTAAGTGTATGTGTATGTGTGCATGTATGTATGTATGTGTGCATGTTTGTTTGTATATGTATGTATGTATGTATGTATGTATGTATGTATGTATGTATGTGTGTATGGATGTATGCATGTATGTATGGATATATGCATGCATGTATGTATGTATGGATGCATGTATGTATATATATACATATAGATGTATATGTATGGCTGTTTGTATGTGTGTATGTAGTTATGTATACATGCATGCATGCATGCATGTATGCATGTATGTATGTATGTATGCATGTGTATGTATGTATGTATGTACGTATGTATGTATGCATGTATGTATGTATGTAGGTGTGTGTATGTATATGCATGTATGCATGTATGTATGTATGTATATATATATGTATGTATGTATGTAGGTATATATGTATGTATGTGTGTATGTATGTATGTATGTCTGACGTATGTGCGTTTGTGTGTATGCATATACGTACATATTCAGATCGACCTCCATATATGAGTGTGAACACGCATAACAGACGTCACGAAGTATCCCACATATGGGGTGATTTCGGAAACATTGAACCCAAACACGGTTTCATCTCCAGGGGGCGCATCTTTAACTTCCGCCGCCTTCCGCCGCCCTTCCTCCGGCTTCCTCTCGCGGAGGCGGCTTCGTTTTACTTCCGCCGACCTTCCGCCGCCTTCCGCCGGGGAAGAGATGGCAACTCTTTCGGTCCTCGAAGGCAAGGCCCTTTTTGGAGCGCCTCATGTGTGCGCATGTACACGCACAGCAGGCGTGACGAAGTATCGCACACATATTGAATAACTACAAAGACATCACATACAACAAGCAGCACGTGCGTGCACCAAACACGCCTATGACCGATGAACACACACGCACACATTTACCACTCAAACGGTGCACATATACATAACACGTGTGAGTAACAGTCAGACTGAGCAGGCGATACGACCAGACAAAACGAACCGATGAAGACTGTGCAGAGCGGTCAGGCATTAAATCCCATTGCGGATACACATACGTACGCACGCCGACAAGGTACACAAACGACAGACAGGAAGGATATGCGCGATAGCACACACACACACACACACTGGTAACACACCGAATCCGCATGCGCCGATGCCACAAGAAACATACAGCGCATCTCACTGCACATGCATGCGGGACAACCTGCGGACACCGCTCGCAGTGGCCCCATCGCGGGAGGGTCGCCCGAGGAAGCAGAGCCGTTCTTGGAGGCCGTGGGGCCCAGCGACACTGCCCGGAGGCAGAGAACGGGCGTCTACAAAACGAGCAAAACCAACATGACACACTCGCGGAGGAAGACCCTGTCCAGTTTCACACAGATCACGATGGAACCACGATGGGGGTCCTGAGTTCAGGATCCTGGGCTCGCTCACTGGGCGGTGGAAGAGATATACTCCTACTCACTTTTAGCACGCTTAGTTTGGTCTGTGGGGCAGCTGCTTGCGACGCCGCCGCCAAATTGAACAATGCGAGAGATAGGTTGTCGCTGGAGCTCAGTGGTCCACCAAAGGCGCTGTCGCCAAGAGAAAGGTCACCGATTTCGGCATTCCGCATCCAGGGCATTTTGTTTTGAGAGGGGGGATCTGCGCCAAACAGTCGTCTGCGACAGGAGAATGAACTGGACAGCATGGATACCTCACGGGCAGTCTCTCCCGAGGGAGCAAGCAGGTGGGGGGGGACATCCAAAAACATATACCACCAAAGACGAGCTGGGGCTGCTGGTGGTCCTCGACCGAGAACGTGGGCGGCCTGGGCATGTCCGAGTGCTCCTTCAGAGGCCTCCTGGACGGGGTCCGAGCAGATGGGGTCGGAGGAGCTCGCCGCATCGCCGAGGCATCGGCGATGCACATCGGCGATGCACTGGCGACGCATCGGCGACGCACTGGCGATGCATCGTCGATGCATCGGCGACGTCGGCGTGGGGAGACACGGGCTCCACATCGAGCCGCACCGTCGCTGCACCGGCGATGCGGCGCGATCCTCCGACCCCACCTGCCCGGACCCCATCAGGGAGGCCCAAGTCCTCGGCCTCGTCCTCGTGGTCGTGGACCTCCCCCGGGGGGCCCCGCGGGCCGGCCGTTGAGGCGGTCGACAGGGGGCATGGGCACAGGCACGGCAGGGTCCCCACCGCCGCCCCCCTCGCGCCCGTTGGGGGGGGGTCTTCGGCGGCAGCTCCCGCCTGAGACTTCCTTGCAATTCACACACGGACGAAGCTCCCGCCTGATACTCCCTCCATATTCAGGCCACAGGGGTCAAAAAGTAGCGACAATTAGAAGATCCTGATGACCCGCTCGGATTAAAACATAAGCGGCGGGCCCCATAGGGAGAGGGCTCCCGCCTGAGTCTTCCTCGCAATTCACTCGCAAACGAAGCTCCCGCCTAATACTTCGTCCATATTCAAGCCCCAGGGACCCAAAAATGACGACAATGACAAGGTCCCGATCGCCCGCTCGGATTGAAACCATAAGCGGCGGGCCCCATAGGGAGAGGGCTCCCGCCTGAGACTTCCTTGCAATTCACTCACAAACGAAGCTCCCGCCTGATACGTCCTCCATATTCAGGCCTCAGGGGCCCAACAATGACGACAGTTACAAGATCCTGATGACCCGCTCGGATTGAAAACAAAAGCGGCAGGCCCCATAGGGAGGGGGCTTCCGCCCGAGGCTTCCTAACAATTCACTCACAGACGAGGCTCCCGCCTGATACGTCCTGCTTATTCAGGCCTCAGGGGCCCAAACATGACGACAGTTACAAGAGGCCGATGACCCGCTCGGATGAAAAAGAACATGAGCGGCGGGCCCAATAGGGAGGGGCCTCCCACCTGAGATGTCCTTGCAATTCACTCCCAGACGAGGCTCTGTTGAAGATGGTGTTGTGATAATCAAGATTGTGATGATGATGCTGATGATGATGATGGTGATGGTGATGATGGTGATGATGGTGATGATGGTGATGATGGTGATGATGGTGATGGTGATAATGATGATGATGATGATGATGATGATGATGATGATGATGATGATGATGATGATGATGATGATAATGATAATGATAATAATGATGATGATGATGATGATGATGATGATGATGATGATGATGATGATGATGATGATGATGATGATGATGATGATGATGATGATGATGATAAGTAGTAGTTGTGAGTGAGTGGGTGCTTTGAATAATGAGAGCATGTGTGAGTGTGTAAGCGATGATGGTGCGGTGATGGTGATGTGAGTGTGTGTGTGTGTGAGTGCGTGAGTGAGAAGAGAGGGGGGTACTTCCATCATGTTCCTGCGCGGGGCGTCCAGGAAAAAACACTTTGGAAGTGGGGTGGGAAACCTTTGAAGAAAGAGACGCCCTCTGGAGCGCTAAACCCAGATCTTTGGCAATGTGAGCGACGATCAAAAATGGGTCCTAGGCGAGATTACCTGGCGACCTGAAGGCGGCGGCTCACGCGGGCCGCCAGCGCGGCACGCCACACTGAAAACGCAGGCGCCGACGCGCGACCTTACGCGGGCAGCTTGCGCGCCAAGGCCGGCGCAGACGACGCCGTCTTCGTTGCGTCGCCCACGCGTGTTTTTGTCCACATCCAGGCGACCTTCCTCGATTTCGGCCTCTGGGGGCCCCTCCGCGGGCCACCCTCCACGGAGCCTGGAGGGAACAGGACAGAACGGGGCAGTGGTCGGGAGCTCCTGGGCCGCAGGCCGAGAACAAGGGAGGTGTCTGGAGTGGCGTCTGCTCAGCGCGTTGCCGCGGCAGCCCCCGGCGAAACGCGCCGTGCCCTGCAGGCCGACAGCGTGCCGCTCTGCTCCACGCGACGGGAGGCTGGCAACAACTCGGAGAGTCGATGCCTGGGGACTGGGACGTCAGGGGGCCACATGCGAACCCTCCCCCACCCTCCCCCTCAGAAATCGTGGGGGGCCAGCACTGGCGGCGACGGGCTCGGGCCAGCGCAGGAGGAGGAGGAGGAGGAGGAGGAGAAGGAGGAGGAGGAGGAGGGGGAGGAGGAGGAGGAGGAGGAGGGGTAGGGTTCACCTGTGGCCCCCTTAGACGTGCCCAGCGCGTCGAGCCGCAGCGCGGTGGGTCAGCACTGGCGAGACGCGACGCGCCGCGGAACCCTCTCGCCTGGCCGCCGGGCACGCGGCCCCCGGGTTTGGCCCTGGGCGTGCCTGGTTGGACTGAAGGGGCCCTGGGACACATAGATACATACACACAAATCAAAGGATTCCCCATATTCGCTTATATTTTCTGGGTTTTTGTCTCCCCCCCCACTTCCCATAGTTTCCCATATTTTCCAGGGAATCGACGATGAATTGTGTCTGTGTGTTTCTTTCCCTCCTGATGGACGAAGCACGCGAGAGACTCTGACGATCCGTGCTGACGCGAGGAACAAGGGAAGCTGGCACCCGCCACCACCGCTGCGAAAAGGCGAGGAGGGCAGGATCGGCCGACACCGCGCAGCGCGCCTCCGGATCGGAAAGAGAGACTCGCATCGGGCCGCAGCGGGCTGAGGTCGAGATCGAGATCGAAGCGGCTGCTCCCAGGTACGCAGCTACGCTGGGCAAGCATCGGGCGACGACGTCGACCGACGGCGACGACGGGCGACTACGAGCTACGACGACGAACGACGGACGGCGGCGACGTCGACCGATGGCGACCACCAAGAGCGCCCAGAAACATAAAGAAGCCTGGACCTTCCGGCGTTCCCTGGCCCGGGGAGGGCCTGCTTTCCCAGAGGGCTCCCGAGATCCTCCAGAAGTCTCCGCCGCAGTAGTCTCGAACAGGAACAACGCTGCCCCCCCCCCCCCCCCCGAAAATCACAACCCGCTCGAGATGCCCTCGAACCATGGCCCCTGTTCGGTATATCTTTTGCGATCGGTGCACTTTGAGATCATAGTCGCGGCGCATGTTCGAGGGCGTGAGGGTCCAGCCTTGCTGCGTTCGAGTGTATCTCTCGCCAGATTCGCAGGAGTCTGAGGGCGGTTGGAGATCGGCTTGTACGATCAAGCCGTCTCATACCAGATTTGGTGTGTGTGTGTTGTTGGGGCCGAGCTTGCTCGACCCGGGTGGTCTCAACCGATCTCTGGACCCCCAGGGAAGACCAAAAGCGTCAAAAGAGCAGAGAGAGTCCCACCCAGTGAGGGTAAGGAGACATAGAAACGTACTCCGGATTCCATAGTAAAGTAGGGTTGGCGGGGGGGTCTGATTTGAGCTGTCTTGAAGGGTACGGGGGGGGTCTGGGCAAAGGGCCGCCCTTTCATGGATGGTCTGGGGGGGTCTAAAACTTCTCGTCTGGGAGGGTTGTGACCCCCTCCCTTTTACTACGAAATCTGGGGTAAGCTTTCGAAGGTACGCGCGGACTAATTGAGTCGGCGCTGCCCTCCCCCCTCTGCGGCGCCAGAGGTGCCCCGATGGGGGATCCAACGCCGACCCGTGATGTCCGCGCGGGCCTTCGACAGAGAGTGAGTGCCTGCAGCGTTCGCGCGTTGTTCGATTAATACAGTCGGGGCGTTGACCTAAGGAACCCTAAATAAGGAACGAGGCCCCTTTTTTCCATAAGTTAAACTTCGATTTCCCATCGAAAACAGGAGGAAACCCTGAGGCAAGCTGTGAAACAATTAAGGAACACGGAGCCCCTTCCACAACGAAAAGCGTTCATTCTTCAAGGCCCCGACGGTACTCGATCACCGACTCTCGGTCCTCCGCTCCAGACAGCTCCTCTTTCCCAGACGCGTTCGATCCTGGAGCGTTCCCCGCAGACGTGACGTCCTCCTCCCCCTCCTCCTCCTCCTCCTCCTCCTCCTCCTCCTCCCTGGACACCCTCTCCGGCCACATGATGAGATGCGCGGCCCCCTGGACCGTGCGACCCCTTCCTCTCAAGGCCAGGTCCGTGTTAACCGCGCCAGTTTCTTCGAAGCCAGCCCCCCGAAGCCAAAAAAATAGAGGTAAACACCCGCTGCCTCAGGCTGTGCCCCCCCCCCCTAATCATGTGGCCCCCCTAATCATCTGGCGTCATTGCCCAAGCTTTGCGTTTGACCCCTCCCTCCCCCTGGCTTTTGGCCGCGGCAGCGGCCGGACAGGTGGCAGTACTCTCGACGCTACGGATGCCATGAGCCTCAGGCTTTCGAGAGGCATCGGATGTGTGGGGACAAGATATTCGATTCTCGATCCTTCCCCTTTGCCTCCTCTCCTCTGTGTAGAATGCTCTAGGGTCTCGGGGCGCGATCCCCAGCAGCGGGCCTCCGCGAGGAGGAATTTGCCGACGCCGCAGAAGCAGCACAGCAGCGACACCACCAGGAAGCCAACCGTCCCGACGAAGGAGATCACATGGCTGAGGGAGACCTGGAGTTCACCTCCGCGCGGGAACGAGACGCCCGCCCTGGAAGCCCCCGAAATCCTGGCGTCACAATCGTTTCGCGTCTGGCGCTGTCGCCCAGCTTCGGCCCCCAGAGCCGTCGCAAGTGGATCCGTCTCGAGGAATTGAGCATTGTGAAAACGGGCCCTGAGGGAAACGAGTCCTGGACCCTGGGGCCTTTTCCCAAGCCAAGTTCTTCATCCTGAATCGTGTTCTGACAGTCCAGGGGCCCGTGGAGGGCCCCGAGACCCCGAGAACGACAAAAACTCCTGACCTGTTTCCATCAGGACGCGCTTCCTCCAGGGCGAAGACGAGCCCCTTGGGCTCGGGTCGCGACCTTCGCCAGTGCTTCACTTCTTCGCGCCGTCGGCCCTCAGGCAAGCCAGGCTAGCGGACGCCCTTCGGCAGCACAGGTCCTCGCTTCCCCGGGCCTCCGCAGTCGAAGCGACGCTCTTGCCCGGCCTCTCGGCCGGCCTCCCTGCGGGCCGAGGCTGATCTGGAGACCACCTCGGCCATCGACGCTTTCGCCACGCACGTGCTCACGCCTCAGCCCCACGACATGCGACGCACAGCAGCGGCGGCTTGCCCTTGGCACTCGCACGGAGACACCTTGGTATCATCCTCTTCGTTCTTCTCCTCCCCCCTCCCTCGCCCGAACCACCTCGCCAGCCTCTTCCTCCTCCGCCTTCTCCCCCATCCCCTCGTTCTACTCTTCAGCTTCCCATTCGTGGCCAGTATCCTGAACCCTCCTTATCCTGATCCTCTGTCTCCTCGCGCTCCTCCTCCTCCTCCTCCTCCTCCTCCTCCTTTTCCTCCTCCTCCTCCTCCTCCCTATCCTCCTCCTCCTTTTCCTCCTTCTCTTAATCACCACCACACTCCTCACCATCGCCGTCGTGCCCCTCTTGTCCCTCCTCTTCTTCCTCCACCTCGTGTTCCTTCTCGACCTCCTCCTCCTCCTGCCCGTGCTCACTTTCAACCTCGTCCTTATACGCATCCTCGTGCTGCATCGCGCTCCGCTCCGCCATCCCCGCGCTCTTACTCCTCCTCCTCCTCCACCTCCTCCTCCTCCACCTCCTCCTCCTCCTCATCCTCCTCCTCTTCCACTTCCTCCTCCCTCCTCCTCCTCCTCCTCCTCCTCCTCCTCCTCTGCTCCTCCTGCTCCTCCTCCTCCTCTCCTCCTCTTCTCCGCCTCCTCCAGCAGCGGGCGGGCGCGGATTTCTCCCGCCGCACGAGCACAGTGATCGGGAGCCGGCAGACTCCTCCGCCGCCCCAGAAACAGGGCGGCCCCCCCAGGGTCTCTCCCCCTTCTCCTCCTCCTCCTCCTCTCTCCCTCCTCCTCAGCCTCCTCCTCCTCCTCCTCCTCCTCCTCCTCCTCCTCCTCCTCCTCCTCCTCTTCCTCCTCCTCCTCCTCCTCCTCCTCCTCCTCCTCCTCCTCCTCCTCCTCCTCCTCCTCCTCCTCCTCCTCCTGTTGTTCCTCCTCTCCCCTCCTCCTACACTTCGTGTTCCTCCCCGCAGCCGCCCTCCTCAAAATCATGTCCCTCCTCGCCCACTATCTCCTCGCCGCCGCCGTCATGCCCCCCCCCCCCCCCCCCCCTTGTGCCTCTCGTCGCCCTCCTCCTCCGCCTGACCCTCCCTCCTCTTCCTCCTCCTCCTCCGCCTCCTCCTCCTCCATTTCCTCCTTCATCCTCCACCTCCTCGCCCTCGACGCTTCCTCGCCCTCTTCTCAATCGACCGCCATCCTTAAACTCCTCCCGTGCGTCTCTGTCGTCTTCCTCGTCGGCCTCTTCCTTCTCCTCCTCCTCCTCCTCCTCCTCCTCCTCCTCCACCTCCTCCTCCTCCTCCTCCTCCCTCCTCCTCTCCTCCTCCTCCTCCTCCTCCTCCTCCTCCTCTCCTCTCCTCCTCCTCCTCCTCCTCCTCCTCCTCCTCCTCCTCCTCCTCCTCCTCCTCCTCCTCCTCCTCCTCCTCCTCCTCCTCCTCCGCCTCCTCCTCCTCCTCCTCCCTCCTCCTCCTCCTCCTCCTCCCTCCTCCTCCCCATCCTCCTCCTCCCCGTCTTCCCCGTTGCCTGATAATCAAATTATCTTCATCCTGCTGATCATTCTGCTCCAGCATGTTCCCAATCCTGCTCATCACGCGCCCGTCCTCCAGGTCCTCCAGGTCCTCCAGGTTCTCCAGGTCCTCCTCCTCCTGCTCGTCCTCCCCCTCCTCGTCCTCCGCGTCTTCCTCCTCTTCCTCCTCCTCCTCCTCCTTCTTCTCCTCCTCCACGTCACCTTCTTCATCATCCTCATCCTCATCCTCATCCTCATCCTCATCCTCCTCCTCCTCCTCCTCCTCATCATCATCATCATCATCACCACCATCATCATCATCATCATCATCATCAGCATCATCATCATCATTAGCATCATCATCATCCGCATCATCACCATCAACATCATCATCATCATCATAATCATCATCACAATCATCAACATCATCATCATCACCACCATCATCATCATCACCATCACCATCATCGTCATCATCGTCAGCATCGTCAGCATCGTCATCATCATCATCATCATCAGATCAGCATCAGCATCATCATCATCACCATCATCATTACCATCATCACCATCATCATAATCATCATCATCAGCATCATCATCGTCGTCATCACCACCTGCAGCATCATCATTATCAGTCTCAGTACCATCATCGCCCCCAGCATAACCATCATAATCAGCATCATCACCATCATCAGCATCATCATCAGCATCGTCATCAACATCTCCATCCTTCCCATCAGAGCTCGCTCAAAGTCGGGCCCAAGACTCCTTCCAGGGCCTTACTCTGGTCAGTTTCCCGCCCCAGATCGCTTTCCAGCTGCCCATGGGGGGGCCCAGACGGCCCTGTTACAGCCGACGATTCGACCGACGGAGCTCTCCTACTCCTCCTCCTCTTCCTCTTCCGCACGCCCTGTCTGCGTCCTACCAGAAGCGCACCCAGCTCGAGCAGGAAGTGCTCATCCTCGCGGGCGGCGGACTTCGGGGGCTAGAAAGCGCTTGCAATGCAGGAGGACAGGGACAGAACACAGTGCAGAAACGTCCCCCAGATCTCATTTGGCTCTTCTTCCCCTCTGTATTATTATTCATAGCACTGATCGTATCATTAGCATGGTCACGCTTGATATTATTATTGCTGTTTTATAGGATGATTATTATTATCATCCGTAATACTATGTTTCTGTTGTCTCCTCCTCCTCCTCCTCATTCTCACGCCCCTCGTCCTCCTCGCCCTCCGTCTCCCCCCCTCGTCCCTGTCCGTTGTCTTGCCTCCTCTCTTCCCTCCTTCCTCCACCTCTGCCTGCCCTCAGATCCAGGCGACGCCAAAAACGCAACGACCGGCTACCACCTTTCTCCACATCTGGAAGCCGCTCCCTGGCCCCAGGACATCAAAAACAACGATTCAGGATGAAACGGTGGCCCAGGGGGATGGGCCCAAATCCCCGCGGGCCGACGGCCAGATAAAGTTGCTCCTGATGGGCCTGTTTTTACCTACAGATTTTGCTGATAGGTTTCTACTGGTGTCAAAAGAGAGCACATGATGACTCAGAAGGGAGGTCTGGGCGGCATCCGGACAGCGAGGGCCGGGCTCAGGGCCGGGCTCGTTTTAAGCAAACAGTCGTACATTTCGTGCTCTTCGACCTCCCAGAACTCCATTCCCGGGCCACATTTTGAATGCCCGAAGCCAACTGTAAACACTGTAGGCCACTTCGTGCTCTACGACTTCCCAGAACTCCATTCCCGGGCCACACGTTGCATGCTCGGAGCCAACTGTAAGCGACTTCGTGCTCTTCGACTTCCCAGAATTCCATTCCCGGGCCACACGTGCATGCTCGGAGCCAACTGTAGGCCACTTCGTGCTCTTCGACTTCCCAAATCTCCACTCCCGGGCGACATTTTGGATGCCCGGAACCAACTGTAGGCCACTTCGTGCTCTTCGACGTCCCAGAACTCCATTCCCGGGCCACATTTTGGATGCCCGGAGCCAAGTGTAGGCCACTTCGTGCACTTGGAGTTCCCAGAAAACTATTCCCAGGCCACATTTTGAATGCCCGGAGCCAACTGTAGGCCACTTCGTGCTCTTCCACTTCCCAGAACTATACTCCCGGGCCACATTTTGAATGCCCGGAGCCAACTGTACGCCATTTCGTGCTCTTCCACTTCCCAGACATCCAAGACTCATCATCTTCATCATCATCATCGTCCCCGTAGCCTTCTTGGCTGCAGCCCTGCTTTCGAAGATTTCCTTTCAAAGGAACTGCGCAGCGCCTACTGCACACCTTAATGCCAGGACATGCTGATAGTTTTCGGTCTGGCGGCGGTGCTCCTGGCCCTGCTGCATTGAACAGCGGTGCTCCTCAGCCTGCGGCAAGGAACAGCGCTGCCCCTCAGCGTGCTGCATTGAGCGGTCCTCAGCAAACGCTCGTCGAGCACGTGAAGCAGTTCGGCCGGATACCGAAGCGAAATAAAGGAACGCCCGAACGAGAACGGGCCGAAAACAAGTTGGCCAAACGTTTCTCGGACCATCGCGACCGCATCCCCAAAGACATTTTGCATGAACTGCGGGCCCTGGGCTGTGCTGATCAGCAGACGGAGACCGAGGAGCTCAAGCGGAAGCAGAAGACCGAGGAGCTTCTCAGCCTGCATTCATGTGACACGCAATGCCGTGGCCTGCACTCGCGAAGTGCTTCTCAGCCTGCACTCGCGCGGTGCTTCTCAGCCTGCGCCTCCTCGGTGCTTGCCAGCCGCCGGATTGGCGCGATTTCCTGCAATACAAGCGGGAGAGGTGAAGTATCCGAGCCCGCGTGTCCACGGTGCTTCTCGGCGTGCGTACTTGTAATCCTAGTTCCAGCAGTAGTAGGACGACGCGGCCGCGGTGCTTCTCAGCCTCCGAGTTTCTGCGGTGCTTCTCAGCCTGCAAGTTTTGCCGACTGTCCGCTTCACACGCCGCTCCACAGTGCGCTCCTCTTCCGTTTGCGAGATGTCTTCCAACATTTGGTTGGAGGCCGAGAAAGACGGACAGAACAAATCCAAGTAGCGCGGTCATCGCCCCATCCTCCTCCTCAATCATCACATCATCATCAATGGCTTCGCCGAGCACCCCGGTGGAGACTCAGGTCTTACGGGTCCGTGCCCATACTACTACTACTACTACTACTACTACTACTACTACTACTACTACTACTACTACTACTACTACTACTACTACTACTACTACTACTACTACTACTACTACTACTACTACTACTACTACTACTACTACTACTACTACTACTACTACTACTACTACTACTACTACTACTACTACTACTACTACTACTACTACTACTACTACTACTACTACTACTACTACTACTACTACTACTACTACTACTACTACTACTACTACTACTACTACTACTACTACTACTACTACTACTACGACATCACACTGAATCCATTCATGGGAGTGCCTGTGTTGGAGCTACACTCATTGATGCAAGTGTGTCGTTTGAGGCTCAACCCGTTGATAGCAGTGTCTCGTTTGGAATCACACCCGTTAATAGCAGTGTCTTGTTTAGACCTCAATGCATTTATACAGAGATCTCATTTGGAGATACCGTTATCGAAAGCAGTGTTTCTGCTGCTACTACCACTGCTCCCATCACTCCTACTCGTTCACTCCACACACTACAATTACTACTTCACTGTTACCACTACTACCATCACTACTACTTCTACTGCTACTACTACTATTACTATTACTGCTGCTGCTGTTGCTGCTGCTAGTGTAGCTATTGCTACTGCAACTACTGGCAGTGCCACTGCGACTGCCGCTGATGTTGCCACTGCGACTGCCACTGCGAATCCGAATGCGACTGCGAGAACACCAGAATTCTATAACAGCACTCTTACATGAATACCACTGGCAATTTTTCCAGCTATGCTTCTACACATCGCTGTTAGGTTGCTTTGCCGGGATAATCCACTACCACCACCACAAGTTGGAGGGGGAGGGGTCCTCCTCCTCCTCCTCCTCCTCCTCCTCCTCTTCGTCCTCCTCCTCCCTCCTCCTTCCTCCTCCTCCTCCTCTTCGTCCTCCTCCTTCCTCCTCCTCCTCCTCCTCCTCCTCCTCCTCTTCGTCCTACTCTTCGTCCTCCTCCTCCTCTTCGTCCTCCTCCTCCTCCTCCCCCTCGTCCTCCTCCTTCCCCCCTCCCAGCTCATGGCGGTGGTGGTGGAGCACAGGCCCATCCGCTGCGTCGGAGGCGAGGGGCGGCGGCCCTGCCCCCAAAGGCTGGCGTGCACGGGGGGGCAGCTGGCCTCCCGAGCACCGCCCGCGGGGCCCCGCGCGGCCGCCGCGCCAAGGGCCCCCCACCCCCCCCTGTCTAAGCCAGCTCGAAAATATCCTCGTCTAGGCTCCTCCTCCTTCTCCTCCTCCGCCTCCTCCCCTCTCCTCCTCCTCCTCCTCCTCCTCCTCCTCCTCCTCCTCCTCCTCCTCCTCCTCCTGCTCCTCCTCCTCCTCCTCCTCCTCTTCCTCCCCTCCTCCTCCTCCTCCTCCTCCTTCCTCCTCCTCCTCCTCCTCCTCCTCCTCCTCCTCCTCCTCCTCCTCGCCGCCTCGCGCGCCTTAGCGCGGATCTAGAGACGCAGCGTGAGTGGCCCCTCGGGCACGCCAAGAGCCGCTCTGCCCGAGTGCAGGGGGGGCGCAGGCCCATCGGCCTCCTCCACTGTCTGGCCAGATGCCAAGGCGGACCCCGGCGCGCGGGGGGGGCACCCTGGGCCAGGCCCGCGCATCCGGCAGCACCCGAGCTCCTGACGGGCCCAAGGTTCAGTCGGGCCTGTCCCTCCACAGGAGGAACATTTGAGAAAAATACAAAGAAAATGGTCTGGGGACGATTTTTTGTCTGTTTTTGCACATTCTTGGGACATGTCTTGGATATTTTACTTGTTTCGTCCAAAATCCGCCTGTAGGGGGACATGCCCGACCTAAGCCCAATGACTACCTACCAGACCACCCCAACCCGACCCATAGACCCGAATTTCGGATTTGGTGTGTGTGTGTGGACTCCTTGTCTGTTTTTTCGATGTTCCCCGACCCCCACCCCCCCCACTGGAAGTGGAGGGCAAATTGAGGCCTTCGGGTTGGGTTGGGGTGGTTTGGTGGGTGGTGACCCAAGGCCTGGAAGCGTCCCCGGGCGCCGACAGACACACGCGAGCTCTGGGGCCACCGGAAGCCGAAGGAGGGACGAAGTCGGGGACAACAGGAGGGCAAAAGGGGGTGTGCGGAATCAGCTGCGTGCAACTGTTTCCCCAGCGCTGGGAGCGGCCGTGCATCGCGCGCGGTGCGACGGTTTCGAATACGACGGCACGCAGCGGATTTCGCACCCGTTGCCCCCTTTCCCGATCCCCTCCTCTCGCCCGGCCCGAGACATCTCTGGGCCCACGGGGCCGATGAAGGCACATTCTCCGCGGGTCTGGAGCGGCGCCCCTCGGGCAAGTGCCACCAGACCAGACCGCTCAAGGGCCGCTGCGCGATGAGCGTGCCAAGGGTCGCCGATCCGCCTGCTCACAACCGGGCGTGTGTGTGTGTGTGTAGCTCTTAACCGTAAGAGGCTCGCTCTCGACCCGCAGACCAATAAGTGTGTGTGTGTGTCTGTGTGTGTGTCTGTGTGTGTCTGTGTCTGTGTGTGTGTGTCCCGCTCTGAGTGGGCCCGGCTTCCTTCTCCCTCCTGCCGTCGCCAGGCGCCTCATCCCTCACCCCTCCTGCATGGTGGCCGAATTCGCGTTCGTGCATCTTCCAACGCCTCACAGCCAGCGCAGTCACTCTGCCCAGCCGCCGACGAAAAGTATATGTGTGTGTCGTGTGTAAGTGTGTGTGTGTGTGAGTTTGTGTCTGTGTGCGTGTGCGTGTACGTGTGTGTGAGTGTGCGTGTGTGTGTGTGTATGTATGTGTATGTGTGTATGTGTGTGTCTCTCTGTGTGTATGTGTGTGTGTGTGTGTGTCTGTGTGTGTGAGTGTGTGTGAGTGTGTGTATATATATAGATGTGTGTGTCTGTCTATGTGTCTGTGTGTGTGTCTGTGTGTCTCTCTGTGTATGTTTGTGTGTGCACGTCTGGGAGGGCAGCTCCCACGGGCCTTCGGCACAGAAGCGCCCGCAGCCGCGCGTCAACCTCGGGCACGGCCCGGGCGCGTCAACCTCGCGCGCCGCAGAAGCGCCCGCAGCCGCGCAGGGAGCCCAGACGGCCCGGGCACCCAGGACCGCCCAGACGGCCCAGACCTCCAGGACTGGCCCCCCCCCCCCCGCGCTGCAACACGGCCGCCTTCCCGTGTCAGGCCGTCGCCCTCGGTGCCCCCCCGCCCGCCTCTCGGCATCCCGCCCCGCGCCGCGCGCCGCCGCCGCCCCGCCGCCGCCCTCGCCGACCGCCCCTCGGCGCCGCCCGCCCTGCCTCGCCGACCGCCCCTCCCAGGCCGCACGCCTCGCCGCCGCCCCCCGCAGGCCGCGCCGCTGTCCCCGCGGCCACGGCTCCCGCTGACACCACCGCGGTCGGGCGGGCTGCCCCTGGCGGGGCGGGGCAGCCCGCTCGACCGGCGATGCCCCGACATGCGTCGCCGTGGGCTCTGTGCGAGACGTGGGCCCCCATGCAGCGGTCTGGACCTCTTCCCGGGGGCGGGCCCTTCACCCCCGGGGCGCCCCCATGGACGGCCCCGGGGCTCCGCGAGGGCATCTTGACCTGAACCCTCGTGAACTCTGCCTCGCCGAGGCGGTGGCATCGCCCGCGCCTGGACGGAGGAGGGAGCGGGGAAGGAGCCTGCACGGGAGGAGAGCGGGCGGCGGGCGGCGCGCGCGCTCGGCGGCGGCCGGCCGGCAGGACGGCCACGACGCGACAGCCAGACAGCCACGGCAGCGACGGCAGCACTGCCCCTGTGCAGCCGCCCGCGCCGTCGGGCAGCACGCCTTCCGCCGTGCTCCCTCTCTTGCTCGGCGGCGCGAGGGTGCCGGGCAGGGCGGGCCCCGAGGACGGCGGCGGGCGCACGCGGGGCGGGCGGGGCAGGGCTCGGGGCCCTGCTGGGCGGGCGGGGCGAAGTCCAGGCGAGCGGCAAAGAGAAGCGGGTCTTGCGCGAGATGGCACAAAGATCTTGCGCGGTGCGTCACGCTTGCCGCCAGCGCGGCCCACCACACTGGAAACGAGGGCGCTCACGCGCCACCTTCCGCGGGCAGCTTGCGCGCGAATGTCGGCGCGGTCGGACCCGTGTTTCTGCGTCGCTCCAGCTTGGGGGCCCACAAAAGGCATACGCGCCCAACCACGCACGTGAACAAGCCCTCCAGTCCGCGAGACCAGCCTTGCGATACGAGACCAGCGTGAATGCACGCACGTGTGCCTCTTCTTCCGCTCCCGACCAGTGGCGGGCGGGCGGGGGCCCAGCCAGGCGGGCGGGCGGCCACCGCCTTCCGGGGCGGGCCGCGCGGGCGGGCGGGCGGGCGGGGCGCGGGCAGACCTCGGCGGGCGGGCGCGCACCGGACGCGAGGGCCCTCGCGCGCCACCCCGCGCGGGCGGCCTGCGCGCGAGCGCCGGCGCAGTCAAGCCCGTGCTTCTGCTCGGGCGTTGGCAGAACTGGGTTTAATGGAACCCGGTTTGGTGATTTGTACCGGGGGCGCCCCCCCGCCCCATTTCCACGAACCGGAACTGCCGCCACCCGAAAAACACCAGTTACGGCAAACCTGGCTTGGTGAACCAGGCCGATATGAGGGGCCCCAGGGCCCTACCACTGACCGGGTCCCCTTGCCCGGGGTCCTGGCTATACCCGATCTGCGCCGCTCCAGCGGCGGGCGGGCGCCAGCCCAGCCCGGCGGGAGGGGCGGCCACGAAGGCCTTGGGCGGGCCGGGACGGGCGGGCGGGGCGGGCGGGGCGGGCGGGCAGAGCCCAGCGGCACCCGGGCGCGCGGAGGCCCCCCGAGGGCGGGCGGGCCCCCGCGAGGGCGGGCGCCTCGGCGGCCAGAGGAGGCGGCCGCCGAGGCGCGGACGTCCACCGCCCCTGCCGCCGCGCAGGCGGCACAGGGTCGGAGCCCTCGCGCCACGAGCTTCGGCCCCCGGCGCCCCTCGGGCCATGAAAGAAAGACCGCGGAGGGTGTGTTGCTATCTCTGGCCTCTCGGGGAGGCCCTCGCCGGGCCCCGGAGCCGTCCAGCAACGACTCGGGGTGAAAAGCTGGCCCCGGGGAGCGGATCGAGGCCCGTGCCCACGCCGTGGCAAAAATCTAACGTCGGGGGCCTAGGGCTTTGGCCAGGAACAGGGATCAAGTGCCGGCTGCAGCTCTTGCACGACGCCTGGACGCGACGTGCTCGAATCGACCCTCAGCCCCTCCTAGAGCGCGTCCTCGCCAACGAAGCGAATCACAGGCGTGGGCGCACGAGGGCCCTTGCAGGAGAGGCCCAGAAAGAGGACACCCCCCAAAGAGACATGCGGAGATCCTCCTCCTCCTCCTCCTCCTCCGACGGGCCTGGAGGATGTATCGGACGCCGCAGCCGTATGTAGAGGTGCTCCAGAAAGCTCTGGGAGCGCTCAGAAAGCACTCCGGAACCCTGTGGACCGACGCACCCTCGCCCCCAGTCATTTTGACGTTGTGTTGTTCCCCATATCCTAAGTATGGGGTTCTTGTTATTGGCGGACCGCGCCGGAAGAACAGAGAGAGAACATAACACCACTCCTCTCACTCAGACCCACTCACTCATCACTCAGACTCACTCATCACTCAGACCCACTCATCATTCAGACTCACTCATCACTCAGACTCACTCATCACTCGGACTCAGTCATGACTCAGACTCATCACTCATCACTCAGACTCACTCATCACTCAGACTCACTCATCACTCAGACTCACTCATCACTCAGACTCACTCGTACTTGCACTCATACATTCACTACACTCACTCAGGTCCACTCATCGGCTGACTCACACACACTGATGTTGAGGATGTCTCAGGCGATTCTGTGGCTTCAGCACTGCTAAGGGGAGCGGCGGGGGGGTGTTTCACTCGGCCCCTTTCGCAGGATTTTGTGGGAATGTCTCGAGCGGTTTGCCTGTTTTCTGTCCCAACATCCTTCGCTTTCGGAGCAGATTTGGAGGATGTCTCGAGCGAGGCGCCCATTTTCACGTTCCTAAGGGGAGCGGCGGGGGGGTGTTTCACTCGGCCCCGTTCGCAGGATTTTGTGGGGATGTCTCGAGCGGTTTGCCTGTTTTCTGTGCCAACATCCTTCGCTTTCGGAGCAGATTTGGAGGATGTCTCGAGCGAGGCGCTCATTTTCACCCCCCAGGTGGGCCAGATTTTGAGGATGTCTCGATCGGTTTGCTTGTTTTGGTGGCCAGGCTCGTGGGCGCAGATTCTTCTCAGGATGCCACAGGAGGCTCCAACAGGCTCCAGGAGGCCCCAGGAGACCACATGAGGTCCCAGGAGGCATCAGGAGGCCACAGAAAGACTCAAGAGGCCACAGGATGTCCCAAGAGGCTCCAGGAGGCCCCAGGAAGCTCCAGAAGGCCTCAGGAAACCACAGGAGGCCCCAGGAGGCAACAGGAAGCGCCAGGAGGCCTCGGAAGGCAACAGGAGGCCCCGAGAGGCCCCAGGAGCAGGAGGCCTCAGAAGGCAACAGGAGTGGCTCCAATCCCATGTGTTTTACGTATGCTCCTATCGGTTGGGCCTCACCTGGAGCACAATTCTTTGATGTTAAACGTATGTTTCTATAGATTGTCCTTCTCCTGTGTACACAATTCTACATGTTTTACGTATGTTCCTATATGTTGGGCCTCTCCTGGGGCACGAGTCCTTGGTGTTTTACGCGTGTTCCTATAGATTGCCCTTCTCCTGTTGCTCTAATCCGCAATGTTTTATGTACGTCTGTTGCTATCTCTTGCGCCTCTCCTGGGGCACGAAACCTCCTTAGGAGGTCCCAGGAGGCCCCAAGAGGCTCCTGGAGACCCCAGGAAGCCCCAGTAGGTTTCAGGAGGCCCCAGGAGGCCTCAGGCTCATGCACAGAGACGCGCTCATACTACTGAGGCTCATTCACACTCCAATTCATTCGCAGTTAGATTTATGTCCAGACCGTCACAACTGAAGCCCGTTTATATTCGAAAGCTCTTGCGCATAGACATTCACGGCGGACAGGTCCATGCGAATAGATGCACATATGGGGAGCTCCACGCAGTGAATAATTCACTTTTACGACGTGGCCGTCCAGATGTCTGGACGCCTGGGGACCGCCTCCTCATTCGGAGTAGTTTCGTAGACGGTCTTGGGGCTCGGCAACTAACAGGAACCTGCCCACGTGACTTCGCCACGACGCGAGCAGGTCTGGGATTTATCCCATTGTAGGCCCCAAGCTTGCCTGCCATCCTCGTCTGCAGCAGGGGGCCATCCGAAATACCGGGCGCGAGGAGGAGGAGGAGGCGGAGGAGGAGGTGAGGACTGGGAGGAGGAGGCGGAGGAGGAGGAGGAAGAGGAAGAGGAGCCGGAGGAGGCGCGGGTCCTCGTCCTGGGCTGTCATGCCCCGCGCGCTGGCGGCATGGGCGGAGACGCGGGAGGGCGCCAGCTGTACCCACCCCGCGCAGGCCCTGGCCACGGCCAATCCTGGGCCAATGGGGCCCCGGCGTCCGCTCCGCGCGTCGCGGCGGCGGCCCCAGGCGACACGCCACGTCCTGCGAGCTGCGAGCCGATCAATCCACTCAAGTTGGCGAAGGCCCACTTACGACGTCTTCTCTTCACTTCGTCTTCTTCTTAGTATTCTTACTATTCTGCTTATCCTTCTTCTTCTTCTTTTTATTATGATTATTGCTATGATGCTTATCATTATTATTACTACTATTCTTATTATTATTATTACTACTACTAGTATGCTTCTTCTTCGTCTTCCTCATTCTGGGCCCGTCCCTCAGACCTGGGCATCACGAGGGGTGTGCTCTGGGAGGCCGTGGGGGCCTCCCTGGGAATCCTGGGGGCACCCGCGGCCAAGGACACCTCGGCGCAGACATCCGAGGCCTCGATCTGTCTGACGTCAAGCCCCCCGAAATCCAGGCCCCTTCACCAGGGTCGGTCTTTCATCCCGTGTCAGTTTGCAAACGGTCCCGGGGCCCGGAGAGGGCCGGACACCGCCAAAAACCTCGTTCACCGTGTATCCCTCGCGGAGCGAGCGTGTCTGCGGGGAGGACCGCGCGGGCTGCTGAGGCGATAAGGCGCGCAGATGCGGAAGCCAAGGTAGTTAGTTGTACTCGTCCCAAAGAGGCTTATAAGTGGGCACAGGTGCTCCAAGTAGCTTTGGGGGACTAGCGTTCTGGGGCCAAGTGGGCTCCGCCCACTTAGCGGAGTGATCTATCCCTCCTGAGCCAGTGAGGGCATGTGGCACACACTCGTGAGCTGGGCCAGATATGACCACATCGGCATCCGCCTATAGCCCCCTCATTCCCAGCTCCGAGCTCAGACCCCCGACGTCATAACTTTTTTTCATGACGCCGACCCCGTGGTCTCGACCCCTTGCCCGGGACCGGTCTCTCCTCCTGAGTCGTTTCTTGACGGTCCCGAGGCCCACTACGGGCACCCAGAGACCGAAAGCAGTGAACAACCCCGCGGCGTGCTTCTCTCAGGACTCGAAAGGGGTCTGTTGACCAGGGACCGACCGTCCCGGCATTCCTACAGTACTACCACGAAGTGTTCTTAGAACCCGAAAATGCTCTAAGAACAAAAGCAGTGTTCTTAGAAGATAATTCCGATGTGATAAAACAAGACAGACTCCGCCAGAACTGTTCTAAGAACATTTCGTGGAAACCACAAACGGTTCTCAGAACATGGTTTGGTGGGGCTATGGGCGAGCCAGGACGCTTCGTCACTGCTGGAGTCTGGGAGCCGTGGCCATCCCGCTGAGGGCTGGCCTCACCGGGGCTGGCGCGGGTGCACTCCGGCCAGCGCCCCCCGCCCGCCAGATGGCGCCGAGCGCGCGGCGGGGCCGCGCGGCGGCGGGCGCCGCGGGCCCGGGGCGGAGGGCCGCCGGGGCGTCGCGCAAGCCGAAAGGGCTGAGCGGGAGCGCCCGCCGCGCGGGCAGCGGCGCCCGGGGCGGGGGCCCGCCTCGTCGAGGAGGGGGGCTTCCAAGAGGGGGGAGGGGGGCGTCCGAGGGGGGTCCTCCTCCTCCTCCTCCTCCTCCTCCTCCTCCTCCTCCTCCTCCTCCTCCCTCCTCCTCCTCCTCCTCCCTCCTCTCTCCTCCTCCTCCTCCTCCTCCTCCTCCTCCTCCTCCTCCTCCTCCGTCTCCTCCTCCTCCTCCTCTTCCTCCTCCACCTCCACCTCCACCTCCTCCTCCTCCTCCTCCTCCTCCTCCTCCTCCTCCTCCTCCCTCCTCCCTCCTCCTCTCCTCCTCCCTCCTACTCCTCCACCTCCTCCTCCTCCCCCAGATCATGGCCCGAGGCATGTGCGCGGGGAAGTGCCTTTGTCCCCCCCGCAGCAGGCGCGCTCGTGCCTCAGGATCTCCGCGTGTCCCTGGCGTCCTCTGCGTGGCGTGCCGCCCGCTGCAGCGGGCACGCGCCCCAGATTCGGAGGCAGTAGCAAGAGTGCAGTGGAGGCCAATCCACAGGAAACCTTCCACAAGAAACCCAACCCTGAGACCCCAGGACGTCCATTGATTCTTGGTGTGGGAGCGTCACACTTTCCGTGGCAAAACCATCGAAACCAAAGAAACCCAGGGCACCCTGGAGGCAAGCAGAGTGTTTCTCGACATGGGCCTCCACTGTACGCGCACATTCGCGGACGAGGCGGGGGGGGGGCAAGGACCAGGTCGAAAAGAAAGGAGCGGGGGCCACGAATGCCGGGGTGATATCCACCCAAGCTTAAATCACCACCCCCTTCTTTGAGGGGGCCCACGGACACGCAAATGAATACACACAGATCCCAGATTCCCCATATTTCCGATATGTTCTGGGTTTTCGTCTTCTCCCCCCCCACTTCCCGTACTTTCCTATACTTGCCTGGGAATCGACGACTGCTTGAGTCTGCGCGTTCTTCCCCTCCTGAATGGCCCCGGGCATGAGATCCACCCAACCTTCAGTCACCAACCCCCTTGTTGGACCGCTTCGGTGCCTGCCCAGGTCGGCCCAGGCCCAGACCCCCTCGAGTCCTGAGGAAAGCACGACGCGAAGATTTTCACTTTTTTCGGCCCCCTGCCCCCTCGGCTCCCAGAACCCCCTCGAGCCCTGAGAAAAGCACGACGGGAAGTTTTTCGCAGACTCTCCGGGCCTCTGGGGGCCCTCACCGGGCCTCGGGGCCTTCACGAAACGACTCGGGAGGAGAAACCGGTCCCGGGGCAAGGGTCGAGACCACGGAGAGAGCGTGATCCACCGCCGCTTTACTGTGGAAAATTGCCAACCTTTTCCTCCGGAACCCGGGGGTCTCCCCCCCCCCCCCCTCCGAAAATCCCCCCCCCCCCTGCCGGAACCCCTCCCCCCCCCCCCCCCCCCTCTCCCCCGGCAAAACCCCCCCCACCCCCTCCCCTAACCCCCCCCCCCCCCCCCCCCTCCCCGCTCGAAAACCGGGGGGGTCACTACCGGTTCGAACCCTCCCCCCCCCCCCCCCCCCCCCCTCCCGGATCCCGGAAAAAACCGGGGGGGTCACTACCGGTTCGAACCCCCCCCCCCCCCCCCCCCCCCCCCTACTCACCGCCAGCAAACGACTCCCGGTCCCCACCACCGTCCGCATCACATCCCCCACTGGTGTTCCCAGCACCACTGTCCTCACCACCGCTGTCCCCACTGGTTCCACCACCGCCCCTACTGTCCCCACCAGTGGCCCCACCACTGTCGCACTGTCCCCGCTGTCCCCAGAACTGTTCCCACCACGGTTCCACTCTCCCCACTGTCTCCACGGCCCCAACCACTGCCCGACTATCCCCACTGTCCCCACTGTCCCACTGACTCCTCCGCTGTCCCACTGAGCTGTCCCACTGTTCCCACCACTGTCCCCACTGTCCCCACCACTGTCCCCACTGTACCTCTGTCCCATTGTCCCACCGCCGTCCTCGCCACCGCTTTCACCACTGTCCCCACCACCATTGTACCCTCCACTGTCCCACTGTTTCCACCTCATTCCCATTGTCCCCACACCACTGTCCCCACCACCACCGTCACCACCACTGTCCACTGTCCCCCCCTGTTCCCACCATTGTCCCCACCACTGTCCCCACCACTACCGTCCCCACCGCTGTCCCACTGTCCCACTGTCCCCACCACTGTCCCGCTATCCCCTCACCACTGTCCCCACCACTACCGTCCCCACCACTGTCCCACTGTCCCCCCGCTGTCCCCACCACTGTCCCGCTGTCCCCTCACCACTGTCCCCACCAACACCGTCCCCACCACTGTCCGCACCCCCACTCGGTTTTCGAGGGGGGGGGGGGGGGTTCGAACCGGTAGTGACCCCCCCCCCTTTTCATGATGAGCTGGGGGGGGGGGGGGGAGGGGTTCGAACCGGTAGTGACCCCCCCCGGTTTTCCGGAGGGGGGGGGGAGGGGTTCGAACCGGTAGTGACCCCCCCCGGTTTTCCGCCAGCAGCGGTAGAACACGCTCTTTCAGACCACGGGGGGTCGGCGTCGTGAAAAACAGTCATGACGTCGGGGGTCTGGGCTTGGTGCTAGGGAGATGCGGGGGGCTATAGGCGGATGCCGGCGTGGCCATATCTGGCCCAGCCTGGCTCACGAGTGTGTGCCGCATGCCCTCAATGGCTCAGGAGGGATACAGGCCTACCCCGAATGTTCTCATAACCCCAACCATGTTCTTAGAACATCGGCCGACATGTTAAAACAAGACAGTCTCAGCGAGACACGCCCCAGGAACATCTTGTGCAAATCACGAGACAAAATTCTTAGAACATTTTTTGGCGGGCCTCTACTAGGCGAGCCGGGACGCTCCGCCGCTCCTTGACACTTGGACCCGGGGCCGTCCCCCAAAAAAAGTCGGGCTGAAAGACAGGCCCTTGTGACGCGGGTCGTGACTTCTGGAGGCCCCGTGCTGATGAACTGAAGGCGTTGGTTGCCAGAGCTCGGGGCCACCGCGGCCTCTGGAGGCCGCCAGGGAAGCAAGCCAAAGCGTCAGCAGGAGAACTCATGGCATCCTGGCTCGAGCCTCGACATCTGGGTCCTCGACCGCCGCGGGCGCCGACCAGCGCCGAGCGACGAGCCTCCCGGCCGAGCTCGCCCATGAAAAGCCGAGCACTGCAAACAAGAGCCCGATCCTCGAACCTGACGACGAGAGGGGCCAACCAGCGCTCAGCGACCAGGCCCCCTGCAGGCCCCACACAGAAGCAAAACAGTGGCACCAGCTCGGCACCCGAGCCTCGAGCATCTTCCGAAAGGGGGATCAATACCCGCTCGAAGGCAATCCGCGGAACCCCTTCGGACCCAACTGGGGGTTCAGACCGGCGAGTTGTTCATGCCGAAGGCTTGAGGGGTCCCAGAGCCCGCGCACGGCCGCCAGACAGCGAGCAGGGCAGACACAGAGCAAAGCTCGTCCCTCAATCCCGGAGGACGGCGCGCGTCGACCATCGCCGAGCGACGAGCCTCCCAGCCGAGCTCCACGCTCTCTTCCTCATCTAGAAGAGGAGGAACAACAACTGCCTAAACACAAACTGTTGGGGGCCAAGCAGGGATCCAAGAAATCCGCGCGGAGCGCAGACAAACATGTCGTCCCGCTCCCTCCTCCTGTTCCTCCTCCTCCTCCTCCTTCATCGGCCTCCTCTCCGAGGCCGCAATTCGTAAACAACCCCACCGCCTAAGGAACCAATATTTCGGGACCTCGGGAGGCGGCGGAGAGGGGAGGAGGAGGAGGAAGAGGATGATGCCCGCGGGGTGAGGCGGACCGCGTCGAGCCACGGCCACCCCTGCGAGGCGCGCGCCCCACGCGCGCCCGCGCCTCGGCGCAGCTACGCGCCCGAGGCTGTCGGCCAGGCCTCACCCCGCGCGGCCCGCAGCAGCCTCGCCACCTTGGCGGCCAAGCCTGGCGAGCTGCTGCGCTCCCGCGTGCAGCGCCGCGGCCTCGGCCAGCCGCCTCCGCCGCCCGCAGCCCCTGCTTCGCATCGAGCAGCAGAGCCACCTGCAGGCGGCATGCTCTCCTCCTGCGACCTGTCCTCCAAGTCCACGCTGTCGCCGCCCGCAGCCCCTGCTTCGCATCGAGCAGCAGGTTCACCTGCAGGCGGCTGGACCTCCTCCTGCGACCTGGCCCCTCTGGCCTCGCGTGGCGGGGGCGGTCCGCCGCCGCTGCCACCTGCAGCCACCTCGCCTCCTCTCTCGGCAGGGCCCGCCTCAGGCCGCTGGCTCTCCTCCTGCTGCTTGGCCACCTTGGCCGCCCGCCTCGGCGACTGCGAGGGCGGCGTCAGCGCGGCCTGCCTCGGCGAGCTGCTGCGCACACGCGCGCGGCGCCTCGGGCCTGGCCCTCCGCCGCCGCCCGCAGGCCCCGCCTCGCCTCCTGCCGCGGCCTGGCGCCTCGGCGAGCTGCTGCGCACACGCGTGCGGCGCCGCGGGCCTGGCCCGCCGCCGCCGCCCGCAGGCCCTGCCTCGCCTCCTGCCGCGGCCTGGCGCGCCGCGGCTGCACGCCTGCCGCCAGCTCGCCCTCTCGGGCCAGCCGCCACGCTGGAGCCCTCAGGGGTCAGGGGACGCAGGGAGTCCTCGCCCTCCCCCTCCCCGCCACCTGGAGCTCCTCCTGGCGGGCGCAAGGAGTGGCCGTCCTCCTCCCCCGCGATGTCCTGCGGCGGCTGGCCTCTCCCCTCCTGCACGTCGTCCGCCAGCGTCGCGATGTTGACTGCCACCTCGCTGACCACCTTCGGAGCCAGCCCCTTCCTCAGCCTCGCGACCGCGGCGGCGCCTGCAGCCGAAGGGACACACTTGCACTCGAGGTGGAAGGAGCTCGCTCTGGCCGCGCCTGTGAACCCGCACGCCCTGCAAGCCACCAGCGGCATACTGCGCACCAGCAGCCTCCCATCAACAGGCGCGAGGAGCACCAGGTCGTGCGACGCCTTCTGCTGCGCCTTCAGCCTGTTG